TGACTGCAGTCAGGAGACAGGTTGCTTCCCACCACAACTTGAGCAATAGCCTTGTGTTTGAGTGTTCGCCCAGACAAGGTTGTCAGTTGCAACTCTTGACATCTGTCATTGTCAGCAAAAAATATTGAAAGCAATCATTGGGCAACCACCAGAATTTTAAATATTTATTTCCCCCAAAGTCAGAAAGAGTTTACCGTCCTATTTTCGCTGTAGTGTGACCGAGCCATTAGCTGTGTTTGTTCATTTCTTTGGGATGTGGGTTACAGCAATACAAAGACCAAGGTGTTGTCTAGACCAGGTCTGCAACCTTCAACATCAAATGAGTCGTTTTAGCCCCTGCTGTCCAACAATGAGAGAAAAAAGGAGCCAAACACACGGCAGGAGACTGTTTCATCTTAGAGCCGAAGGTATCGACCTGAGAAACCTCTGGCCTAAGATTAAATGAAACTTTCTGAAATGAAACTGACTGAAAAAGCTCTCTGTGTGCTGTGCAGCAACACTCATGCGTCCCTGTCCTTTATCAAGGACAAACTACAATTCCACTGAGGTTTTGCAATCAGAATACTTTATTTGTCCCTAGGGAAAATATGGATTATGTAGTACTTCTTGGTTATAGTAAAAGAAAACAAATACACATGAATAGTCATGAAAAAAAAATCTTTTCCTTGAACTTTAAATATAACTCAAAGGAAAGGTTAAGTTTGTGTCAACATGCATTTTGTTGACCAAAGGCTCTTTTTCTGTCTTCTTGGGTTTAGCAGAACTAAACAGCTACTGACCTCAGGCTTTTAAACCTAGTAAGGAAAAACATAACTGAATCCATCTTTTATCTCTATTAGCTTTTCATATTAAGTGATTTGATCCTGTCCTGATTTGATCTAACCCAATTCATTATAAATTGGCTGGTGTTAATACAAAGTAGAACACAAGCATATCCAAACCAAATAAAAATTGATGCACGCAGTATAGGAGTGAACAGGTCCTGTCCTGAGAGGATGATTTGAAAGACGGATACGTTTTGGGTTGTTTGGTGCAATAAATGGAAGCGTTAATCTTTTTTCACTTGGTATCTGTCGTGTATGTAAGTCACAGTGCCCACGGTGGAACTATAAAAAGGACCCTTTGACGAGGAGACGGTTCTGCATGTCTCCAGGACTTGGATCAGTTTCTTGTGGATCGGTTACAGCTATACTGAGTCAGCCATGCCATTTAGAGTTTTTCTTTTGTTCGTTTGTTTGCAGTAGTTACTCCCGCTGGGCAAACCATTTAATTGATTTTAACCACATAATCAAACTCTGTGCGACACTGGAACCAGACCACAAAGGATCAAGTTTGCCAAACAAACAGCACCTAGCATTTTTCTTCAATTACACATCAGTGAGCAACAAAAAGAGAGGCGGGGGATGCTGTCATTTTTCAAGGTCCTGTTGTCCTTAACGGCAGTTTACTCCAAGAACTAAAAGAAGAGGCTTTGTCAGCTTCAGCCTGCTTTTATTTTAAAAACACAGTTATGTGTCTTTGTAAGCAGGGTCAGGTTTTCATTGTTTTCTGTTTCGTCCACAGGAACCTGGGATATCAAAGGCGGGACCACTGAGGCAGATTCTTCAGGCAACTGAAGTCCTGTTAGAGGTGCTTTATTACCGACCCCGTTACCCTGAAAACCAGGTGTGAGGAGCGCCCCTCCTACACTTACCTCTAACCACAATGCCCATTGGCTTGAGAGAGGTGTTTCCTCCCACTATAGGATTTATTTTATTTTACGTGGGTTGAGGGGGGGGATTTTATTTTTCCTCCCTGTTTCTGTTGAACTTTTTTCCAAAGGGCCCTGGCTTTGCATCGCATTGCTTCACGACTGGCGCTCTGCTTCTGGTTTGGTAGATGTGGCCAGCAGCGAATTAAACTGAAATCAAGGCAGGCGTGGAGCAACAACGTCCTTCCTGGCTTATGTTTTTTTTTTCTTTCTTTTTTTCGTGACCAAGAAATGTGTTTACGTGGTGCTCTCCTTGCATGTTGAGTTCAGCCATATTATTTTATATGTACAATCATAAGTTGTTACAATCTTTTAACTTGAATTGTTTTATTTCGAAACTTCTTGAATCGCCTTTAGACGTTGATTAAGACTGAGTATTTATTCCGTGATGCTACTGCTATGAGAACTCCGACGCAACAAATCAACAAAATGAACAAACTGAAACATCTCGACCTTACTGTCTACTGAACTGGAGATTCTCTTATATGTTGCAAAAAATATATATATACTGAGGAATGTACTTGTGTGGACTTGTACTAACCTGTGAATAATGATGATGTTAAATGATAAATCGTATATGATTTTACAGAGGTTCTATTGTTGTGGTTTTAAAGTGGTTCTTAATAGGCTGTTGTGTGGCTTGTGTGGTCCGAGGCTATGCAGCCACGCTGCAAAAAGAAAAAAAAAACTTTACTGTGAGTCATTTCATCTGGCATTCAGCCCTGTGAAAAGATCCAACTGTGGGATTTTTAAAGTACGTTCTTTTGGTTATTATTGAGGTCTAAAATGTGGCTTATGTGGGAGTTAAATATTTCTTCCCACTGTGCAGTTTCAGTTGTTCTGTGAACCACTATGAGGCACAGTACCAGATGAAGTGACTCGATAAGAGCAGATATTTTTGGTAGCGTCTGGTAAATGCGTTTACAGAAGGAGGAAGCATCAAGGATGCACACAAACAAAACATTACAGCTACTCAGTGTGTTACTAATACTTTGCCATATTCATGATTGTATATGTAATATAAGAGTCAGTGGATATTTGACTTTGCCTTGTTGTGGTTAAAAGCTATTATTATTATTGTTATTAACATTACAAAATGTATATCTATTTTTTTGTATATCTTATTTTCCCAATGGTAACCTGTGAAGCTGTTCTGGCTTTGCTGCTTCCCCCTTTGACAAACTCTTTGGCCACCATGCATATAATCAAGCCAATTACTATTGTTATGTGTGTCCCCGCATGCATACTTAGCCTTCGCCTCACAGTGGATATTGCCTCATGAAAATGATTTTTTTCTTTAAATTTAAATATTTTTTTTTACGTGTTTGTTCAGACCAGCAACATTTGTGAATGTTACTTTTGTTTTAAACCAGGCTGGTTGGAGTTTAACTGAAAAGCAGGAGTTAGTTTAGCAAAAAAAAAAAAAAAAAAAAAAGACAAACCACTTACTTACATACCTACACCCTGCATATTGTAAATTTTGTCAAGCCGTGTATCAATAGTGTATTATTTGAGTACCTAAATTGTTGTTCTGCTGTTTGGAAATCCCTGAAATCGAAAATTGTTCCTTCACCATACTCCAGAAATTTGTTAACTCGTTTACTGTTTGTTTTTTTTCCTTCTTTTCCTACTAACCTAAAAGTGAAATACACGATCCAACAACACGAACATAAAAAAAATTAATAATAAATGTGAGGGAAATCTGTTTGTTTTGTTTGAAAAGAGAATGGCCAAATGTTGGAATATCAAGTTTTAAACCACCAAATACTCATATCAATTACAGCATAAAAAAGCCTATAATCATTTCAACCCACAAGTATTTCTGTGCAACTAGGAATTGCAGTAATATTCAAGCCGACTGGTCCTGTACATCCCTACTAGAGACAGTGGCAATGGATCCGATAATTGCTACTCAAACAGCACGTTCTTTGTTAAACAATCAAATCCGACTTTTGGCAGGATTTGACATCTTCCTTTTTACATCTTTTTTCAGAAGCAAAGCTAAATTTGTAAATAATAATAAAACATTCCTCTTGCCTAGCAAAAAAGTAAATTTCATAAAATGTCACAATTTTTGCTATCAGAATATAATAAAGAACATTCACTAGCTAACCTTTACCTAAGTTTTAATGTTACAGTACAAGCTAGCTATACTTTTTTTTTTTTTTTACACTCACATCTTCACATTTACTGGCCTGAACTACACCATGAGACATAGTTACTGCCAAGTGTTTGATTGTCAGAATGTAAGAAGTAAGAAAATTAAAACAAAATGAAATACTAGCTAGTTTTAGCTAATACTAGCTTTTCAAGCTAGCAATATGACGCAGTGGTTGTTAGATGTTTTTTCATAAGAAGCCTACATAATCTTAATTTATAACTAAACTGCTTTGAAAACTAGAAAAGGGACAAAAATGTACATTCACAATCTCACTTTGACTCAGGTCTGTTAAAATAAAGTTGTTTGTGCATCAGCTTTGCTTCATTTACACAGAAGTGCTCGGTTGTTGAGTTCGGACATCATTTTTCCACATTTATCAAACTAATCCTTTACCAGACAGAATAACTGTGAGGCGTTGTAGATGTAGGATTGTGCTACTGTATCCATAGTGTGCCAGCTTACGCTCTACACCTTAGAGGCTTTCGTGGTGTTGTGCCAAGTTTGTACTTTTGTGGGTTATGAGACATACAATAACGTGCGCGTGATTGAGCGATGGCGCTCACATGCACTTGAGATGCAGGAGTTGTTGTATGTCATATATTTCAAAGTTTACTGTATCTTGCCTTGCACTTTATCAAGAGGTTAACTTGATTGGGGGGTAATCACGTGTACGTGTGTGTGTGTACGCTAAGATTTCACGTGTTTACAGGGTTGTTGTTTTTTTAATCGATGAATGAAATCTTTATTTATGAAAAATGTATACGGACATAAGTGTTTCGATAAAGTGTGATATATGTAACCTATCACAAAAAAAATATGAATATATGGAGCTGTATACACAAATGTTTATTACATTCGTGGCGGTACAATTACTCCAACAGCAGCTCGACACCATTTGACACCAATGTTATTCGTGATTGTGTCATTTTACTATCACAGCGATGTCATCTAAACATCCTTAGCCCAATTGGTACGCTATCCCAAAGAAGAAGAAAAAAAAGAAAAAAGTAATACTAATTTCAAACCAAAGTTATTTAAAATGTAATCCAGTGTTATTTACAAACTACTAACACAAAGAAGTTGTTCAGCTTGTGTTGAGCCTTTTTTTGGGGGGGGGGGTTGAAATTTTTGTGTATAATTTTTGATTTGGTTTGTGTTGTGCTGAAAATTACTGCAAAGATGTTGGGGAACATAATATATGGAAGCCATTTTGGGACAAGTAATTGCTTATTTATTGCTCTTTTAATTAAATATCTCCTAGTTTTGTTTTTTCTTTTATAGGGTTTATTTTTTAAAAACTTTTCTGATGTCGCAAACTGAAACTCTTCCCAAGGAGTTACGTGAAGCTGAAAAGAAAGATGCTAGCAAAGGAACTTAAATGAATCCACAGATTACAAACACTGCCATGTTTGTGCAACAGTATTCCATAGATGACATTTGTGAACGCACCCCTGATTCTGAGCAGCCTATATATTGAGACAGTGCTGGAAGCCAGACTAGATGTTGCACGACCTTGTACGTTGCGAGGTGTTTTATTGTGTTATCATGTGCAGTTTGTAACAAAGACAAAGTCAGTGCAACCCTCTGGAGATTAAATGAATTATTGAAGTGTGAATCTTGTGTGTTGTTTTATTTAGTAACTGTGTGATTTGTGGTGCTCTTGCGCCTTCGAGTGTTTTTATTCCAGGTTGACAAAAGAGTCAAGGCCTCTGTGTGCTTTAATCAAAGTAGGTCACAACTAAAGGTAAAGACTTAAATAGTATTTTCACTATTGTCTACCCACTTAACTTTTAGGCACTGTCTCATTGCTTGATTTTTCTCTTTGATTTTTCTATGTATATTTTTACACTTGATAAATCACTTTGATGTCTGTGAATAGTTAAAATTATCTTTTAGTTTTTGGAGCAGATTCTTAATTTCTGTAGCATTTTTTTTTAATAGCATTTTTCTTACAATAACATGCTTCTGCAGCACAAAGGAGGGAGCTAATCGTAGCTTCTGAAGATTTATCCACTGCACATCTGGGACGTGAATCTCTCGTTTCACCACATCCCCAAGCTGCTCCATTTTATTAGGATCTGGATCTATGGAGGCCATATCTCAATCTAAGTGAACGTAGCTTTGTAAGGTGATGTGTTACCGTGCTGGAATAAGTTCCAGAAGTTTTGGTCATAAAGGAATCGGCATAGTCAACAAGACACAGGTAAGACTGTGTTGTTTAGGTAACATCCTCTAATAGTACACCAACACCACAGCAGCCTTATAGAAGCCGGGATGGAGTGATGCTTTCTTGTTGTAGTAAAACTGGGGACTCATCAGACGAGGCAACATTTTTCTTATACTGTCCAATTTTAGCAAGCCGGCGTGAAATGTAGTTTCAGTTTCCTGCTCTTAGGTGACAGAAGTAACTCCGACTTCTGGGACTTCTTCTCCAACAAACTCCCGCATCAAGGAGGCATTTTCACTCACAAAACTACCCCTGATATTTTCTCGCCTTGTTTACTAGCCACGCTTTCTCTAAACAATTAGCCCACATGCTGTATGTTCTTTGTTTGGCTGTAGTAAAGCTAGTCGGTGAGTAATACTGTGTAGGCTGCTCTCACAGATGTACAATAGGCTTATAATAATGAAAACAAAGTGTGGAAATACAATTTAAGTATGACTCATGAACTAAAGTCTGACCTAAACTGTTTTATTTACAGCACCAGTGGATTAGCTAATGATTCATTACAGGCTTTTGAAAAAAAATCATTAATCTTTCTGCTTAAAGCCCAGGGGACTTGTGATGGATATCAAGTCTTTATAACATTGATCCAGCTATTTATCTGTAATGAATGTAGCCAACAGTGGTGAAATGCTACCAGTCGGTACACATACAAAATGAAACAACACCCCCCACAAATGTAAAAGTAGAAACTGACATAGAAAACTTTATTTCTTCTATTGAAGGTACAGTTTTGTCTTTACATCACGTTCTCCGTATCGTGGTCATTTAAACACGTCTCATTGGGGTTTGTAGTGAGTAATTATTATTTCAGAAGTAAATATGTCCTATGTTATAAAAATCTCTTTTGATTTTCTATTTCTAAACCACAAAGAAATCTGACGTTTCTCACTCTAGCTCTGGCATGTCTTCATATCCTTCCTCTTCCTCCTGCCTCCTCTGCTCTTCTAGCTTCTTCCTCTCCTCCTCCGCCTTCATCCGCTCCTCCAATGCCCTCTTCATCTCCTCCTCCACCTCCTTCCTCTTTAACTTCTGCCTCTCCTCCTCCTCGTTCTTCTTTTGATTTTCGTCCTTCTCTGCCTTTTTATTCTTGGGCGTGTCATAGGCCCACTCCTCGTCCGAGTCACTGATGTCGTCATCATCGATGTCCCAGTCGGGCTGGTACGACTCGTTGGATTCGATGAACGGGTCGTCTGCGGGCTCGGGCTCAGGTTTGTAGTTCGGGTCCTCCAGTTTGCCCCAAGCCACTTGGTCGGCCTTGCGGAGGTTTATCTCCAGTTTAGATGGGACCATATTGACCGAGCTGTGCTTTACGTTGATCACCTGCAGGTAAGAGAAATTCAAACTTTGGATGGACAACATTCAAGCACAATCTAGTTTAAATGTGTTCATCAGAAACGTGTGAACTGATAACTAACTAACCACGGGATAAGCTAATGATTATGATCACTGTTATATTTTTAAGAAAATCTAGTTGCAACTGATTTACTTATTTCTAAACTTCAGATTATGTTTAGGTGTTCACAGCACTCCACTGCTGAAGAAAGGTCCATCCAGCGTAGTTAGTCGGACACAAAGTCTTTATCTACCTCTTTCTCTCCTAAATACTTTTTTCCAACCACAGCCAGCAAAACCTGCCAAACAAGAGTCGGGCGCTTTGTGTGCTCACCATCCTCAAACCTCAGTCCATTCACTGATCTTTGAACATGAGCTCAAATGTTCCAAGTGTAAGTGGGAAAGGCGATTCCCAGCAGACAGCAGATACTTACCCCCCAGAGGTGGAACTCTTTCTTGAAAATCTTATTGTTCTCAAACTGGATTTGACACGAGAGCTAAAGAGAGGACAGAAGACAGAGAAACGGTGTAGGTCTTATTACATAAATGGGTAAATATACAAATCTGTTAATGAAAAAAAATCTTGAGTTAGACCATGATTATTAGTAGGGGAGAGCGGGGTAAGTTGTCACACGGGTAAGTTGTCACACTGTTCATAACTCCAACACTAGAGGCTCTATCTCAAAAATGAAATAGCCACTTTGTGTGACTTCTTCTTCTATAGTCAACCTCCTGTTCACATGTGGTCAAGACTGCTCTAATCTGAGGTGAGCACATCTTTTTTATTTTTTTGACCTAAAAGGAAAAATAAATCACTTTAAATTTTCTTCAGTACAACTTTGTTAGGTATAGATGTTACAGATTATTATTTTACACAAAATAGAGGAGACATTAACGTGTCTTTTGATACTTCAGCTGATGTGCTATGTTGAGCTAACCCTGACATTTAGCCAAATTAGCATACATGTCAGTTTGGGGGAAGTTGTCTCATTAACTTTGGGGCAAGTCGTCACATGTGACAACTTGCCCCAGTACAAATAAATGCTCCAAAAAATTGATATTGTAATTCATTTGTATTTGTAATAAGGTTTTTGAAGAAAGGAAGGAGAGGCAGGAATTAAGGAAGGAAGGAAGAAAGTAAGATGGTTCGAAATTATCAACGAAAGACAGAGCGTGGCAGAACACCACCTGACATTATGTTAAAGGCAGTCAGGCAGGTAAAGATGCAGACCAAATCAATTAGAAGTACAGCAAAGGATTTTGACATAAATCACCGTACTCTAACTCGGTATTGTCAAAAGATTACCAGAGAAGAAATTGAAAGTCAGACAGCCATGCCAACAACAATGGTTGGTTATACAACGCCAAGGAAGATTTTTTCCCCTGATTTGGAAAAGCAGCTTGTTGAGTATATTACTAGGTCAGCTGACATTTATTTTGGTCTGTCACCAAGTGAGGTCAGAAAGCTTGCCTACCAGTTTGCTGTGGCACACGAACTGAAGTTTGTGCCTTTGTGGGCAGAAAAAGAAAAGGCCAGGAAAGAGTGGTTTACAGGCTTTTTAAAGCGGCATACAACATTGTCACTGAGAAAGCCAGAAGCAACTAGCCTTGCCAGGGCAAGTAGCTTCAACAGAGCGAATGTCAATGCTTTCTTTGACAACTTAGAGAAAGTGTTATGCAAATATGAGTTTGGACCAGGAGACATTTGGAATGTTGATGAACCTGGGGTCACCACTGTACATAAACCAGACAAAGCGTTGGCCAGACGTGGAGTCAAACAAGTAGGGTCACTGACCTCTGCTGAAAGGGGAACCCTTGTCACACTGGCCTGTGCTGTCTCAGCCATAGGGAATAGTTTACCTCCATACTTTATTTTCCCGCGTGTCCACTTCCGTGACCATTTCCTGATCAACGGGCCACCCGGCAGCAAAGGAGGGGCAAATTCCTCTGGATGGATGAAAGACACACACTTTGTTGAATTCCTGCAACATTTCAATGAACATACAAAGTGTTCAAAGGAGAAGCCCTGTTTACTCCTTTTGGACAACCACAAGTCTCATCTGTCCATTGATGGACTCAATTATGCCAAAGCAAATGGCATAATCATGCTGTCATTCCCACCCCACTGCTCACATCGGCTCCAACCATTAGACAGGTCTGTCTACGGGCCACTAAAGAGGCACATCAACAGCACGTGTGATGCCTGGATGAGGAACAACTCTGGGAAGACAATGTCTATTTATGACATTCCCTGGATTGTGGCAATTGCATATCCTCTGGCTGCAACCCCATTGAACATTCAGGCTGGTTTTAGGGTGGCTGGGATTCAACCTTACAACAGAAATGTATTTCTGGAAGCCGAGTTTGCACCATCCTACGTCACAGATCACCCTATTCCGGACCCTGCCCTGCCAGGCCCCAGCACTACCTCTGCACTGCCAGGCCCCAGCACTACCTCTGCACTGCCAGGCCCCAGCACCACCTCTGCACTGCCAGGCCCCAGCACCAACTCTGAACTGCCAAGCTCCAGCACCAACTCTGAACTGCCAAGCTCCAGCACCAACTCTGCACTGCCAAGCTCCAGCACCATCTGTATCACGAGCTCACCCTTACCCAGCACTGCAATTACTGACAGGGGACTACCAACTCCAGAGGACATCCGGCCATATCCAAAAGCTGGCCGCCGAAAACCATCCAGCAAAGGAAGAAAACGACGCAAATCAGCAATTCTAACCGACACGCCAGTGAAGCAGCAACTAGAAAAAGAAAAGAATAAGGCTGAATCTAGCAAAAAGCTGTTTCAAAAGAGAGGGACGCGAGGGGGGAAAACATCTGGACCTATGAAGAACAACGCAGCTAAAAGAAGAAAAATAATTCAAGAGTCATCATCAGATGATGAAGAGTGCTTCTGCCTTGTCTGTGTGGAGCCATTTTCAAACAGTCGTCCAAAAGAGACCTGGGTGCTTCTGCCTTGTCTGTGTGGAGCCATTTTCAAACAGTCGTCCAAAAGAGACCTGGGTAAAATGCGTAAAATGCAACAAATGGGCCCATGATGCTTGCACCTCAGGCCAGGCAATTTATGTGTGCCAGAATTGTGACTCTGAAGTTGAGTCTGATTAATCAGAAATAGGGCATCTGTTTTGTTCAGAGGATAAACATGTTAAGTAAAGCAAGTTATTTGCAGCATTCCATTCAGTTATGATGGATTTATGTGCAAGCCAGAGAACATTTGAGTTTAAAGTTCAAACTAAAGTTTTCTTTCTACTTAATGTTTTGATTAAAATGTGTATTGGATTGAAATAATTGTTTTTTTCCAAATTCTCTTGGCATAATTGTTCAAATTTCCAGTTTTGGTTTGAATTTAACAATTAAAATCAATAATCACAATTAAGTATTTGTGTTCTTATTTTAAGATAATCTAGTGTGACAACTTACCTGCCGATGGGGCAAATTGTCACAAGTGCACATTCTCCATTCAACAGTCTACAACTCCGTAATGAGATAAGATATGAAAATGTAATGAATACATCATATGTGCCCGAGACTTCCTTCTTTCATTTGGTGAAACATTTATTACGTTGTGATGTATGGTGCTCAGTAAGAGTTAGTCAGTGTGAAAAGTGTGACAACTTACCCCGCTCTCCCCTACTGGGTATAAAATTAAAATAGCACTTCTTAGTAAAATTAGTAAAAAGCTTGAAGACGCTTGGCTTGTCTGTCCTTTTCTATGGTTTCGACTTCCGTAATCAAAGGTAGAGTACAACCCTGTCCACATCTAACAGTTCAGTTATTGGACATCGCTTTTTTGCTCACAGTCGGTCAATGCAAGTTTACACTACTCTCCCGAGAACCCCTTCGTGGTCACTTTGGTCGCCTGAGAGAAGTTTATCGGTAATGGTTATTTCACCCTATGTCGCCACATGTCGCTGAGTTTCATTGACTTTCGATGCTCTCTGGTTGCTACGGTGTTGCTAATATTTTTGTTTTTTTATTTATTATTAGCAAAGTTAACTTCATGTATGCTCAGTATGACCTGAAACTGGCGATTGAGCTCATACAGTCACCAGGCTGCCACTGTGCAGCATACAAGAACCAATCAAATTTCTTTTGCTAACAATGAAGGACTTCAAGAAGTTGCAGCAATCAAGTTGTCATGGTGATGCTGAGGGTGGCTGCGTTCACTCGCAGACAGATTGGTGACAGTTTGCAGTGAATGTGAGTCAGTCTGTTAATGAGTGCAACTTTTCTATGACGCATCTCTTTGACCTACGGACGTTAAAGCGCTGATGTACAAAAGTAATTTAGTAAAACCTGTTACATAAATGCAGTCACTCTAATAAACAACATACACATTGCCATCTTATTGTGGTTGATAAATTATCTACATGTGCATCATAGACCCTCTTAAAAATCACTACAATCTCAGAAAGTGTTACAGGATTGTCATAAATGACTCATTTTTGGACCTCAACAGGAAGTTGAGCTAAATCTCATTAACACCTGTTACTGTGCTGAATCCTGATTTGTTAACAGTTAATTAAACCACAAATTATTAGAATAAGCTGCTTATTAATGAGGTTGTCTCATTGCAAAGTCATACTAGATCCAACCACATACGCTGTGCGTTGTCTGCTTCATTAAACTCACCACCGTCCGGTTGGCCTCTATGCTGGAAAACTCTGGGTTTGCGTTCTTGGCGTAAATGGTCACGACGACGCTGTTGCCAGTCTGATGCCAGTCATAGCGACACGCCACCTTCTTCTTGTCCTGCAAACACACACGTGAACCCACACACACCGGTGAGCTGCACAGCCAGACTGCTGCGAGACCGAGGAGCGACTCGAAGGCTGATAATCATAGTTATCAAATCTAAATCAAAACATCCCAATGAAAGAGAGAAACCGTTTTATTCCTGCCCTGGTTTGAGTGTTTGGATTGCTTTAGCGCTCTTCAAGGACATTTGAATTTGTGGTAAACATGATTTGTTTGACTTGAAGTTTGACTTGTTTTTTGTCTGCACTCATAGATAAATCTTCCCACTCAAGTCTTTGTTTTATAGTGATCAAAAGGACGAACAAGTGAACCGTGCACGCAAAAATAGGTCACTTTAAAGCTTTTTTTGATGTTGTTGTCAGCCCTTGAGATCTGTTTTCCTTTTTCTCTGCAAACTTTGATCCGATCCCCGGTGTCCCACCAGCAGTTTCTCTAGTACATTCTCCAGGTGGTGCATGTACCTGCTTTGGGACCCAGCGGTGTTTCCCCATGGTGCAGCCCTTCTGGTCCAGGAAGGCGTTGAAGTCTGTTGTCTTGATGCAGCAGCAACTCCAGTACTTGTACCTAAACAACAACAAAAAAAGAAAATACAAAGAAATGGTCACAGTTTGTAAGAAACAAGCCGTGTCATCCTGGAGACAACAACAACCCTACGTGATCCCCATGAAATGAGACTAATTCAGGTTTTGTTAGGAAGCTGCCCAGCAGTAGGAAGCCCAGCGTTACACTTAATGTGATTTAAAACCAGCGCTTGCAGTTTATTTACTCTTAAAGTCTGTTTGTAATGTTGCAGATTTGCTTTAATTACCAATCTTTAATTAACTCTCTTATCTCGACGTGTTTATGTTTCTTGCTTTGCGTGCACGGCCTTCAGTTTTGTTTTGTTTGCGTCCCTCCTTTGTAGAAGTCAGCTAATTGTTGTTTTTGATACGAGCTATGCAAATAAAGAATGTAATTACGGTTTTGTTACAGTGGATTAGACTTGTTTTTGTTAAAAAAGAAAAAAAATCTCCAGTAAACAAGTGGCAGGGTAGAGTTTTTGTTCTTACCCCTCGTGGAAGACGGGAGCTCCAGGATGGTGGGTGCAGACCTCCATGTCGGTCTGTGGTCCTTGGTAGACCTAAACACAGAAACATAGCACACAATGCAAAGACCATCGGATCAGTTATGGGGACGTTTGATAATATTAAAGATTTAGGCATAAAAGATTAAGTTTTTCTTCCATTTTTAACAGGGCGATGTCATATTTTCTGTCCAATAAGCGGCGTTCAGCCATATTTAATTGTAAAGGCAAAGACCTTGAAGGGTGAAGTGAAAGGATAGCTCCCTTTTATGTCAGCACTGTTTGTTAAATATAAAGCAATTAAAGTTAAGGTCATCAGTTCGTTCGTGAATCATAGTACCTTCATAAATAAACATCAATCCTATCCTCAGTCCTTTGATGGGAAGAACTTCAGGAACAGAGTTCATTTCATCGACAACCTTTTTTGTTTTTGGAGGAAAACAGTATAGTGATACAAACAACAAAACGGTGACTAAATAAAAATGAGTACACAAGGAAATCTTCATCTGCCTTATGACAATCAAAGTAGGCGAGTAGTAGCTTCGATTTCTGTCCTTTCAGTGACGTTGTTGGCTCGATTTCATTCAAGACTGGTCTGTTGGTCCTCCTAAATTTATAAACTCAGTCTTCTCACCACATCTCAAAAATACTGATGATTTAGTGACTGCGCTGTTTTCTAATAGTTCAACTATAGGTGACCATGAAGGAAATCAAACTGTACGTAAGCCTTCTTTTCTTGTCCTTAGATTTCTAAGATATTATCCGATGATTTCATCGTTGCCTTGATGTGGCTCATACGTTTTATTGATCCTAGCAGGTTAAACTTCATGATCATTTCTATATCATTGCCTTCTATGTCGAAGGTGGCACCAGTGTAGTTTTTAGTTCAGGACTTATTTAAATTAACACTTATTAAATATTAATTAAGGTTCGATCATGTGATCAAACTGAATTACAAATGTGGATTGCACAACACTGGATAGTATATTTCTTCATTTCCATTTAATACTTGTACAGCTGCTGTTATTGTGTATATATATTTATATTTCTTATACATTCTTATATATTTCTATACTGTGTATTTGTGTATTTTGTTGTACAGTTATTTTATTTTCAACTTTAATTTATATATTTTATTTTATTCCTTCCTATTTAAATTTACCCTTTTTAATTTTCAGATTTATTTCCTCTCATTCATAGCCTTTTCTTTTTTCTTTAGGTCACGAGCAGTTGTGTAAGCATTTCACTGCATATCGTACTGTGTATGACTGTGTACGTGACAAATAAAATTTGAATGGGTTTAAAATCCAAAAATAATTTGAAAGTAAAACTAAAGACTTAAAAAAAAAAATCACCTGTGAACATGAAAGCTTGGTGTGGTTTGTGAACTGTGATGTTTTACTGTATTTAAGAGGGTTAAAGGTCAAAATGATGTGAAAACACAGAAGCGATGTGTGTCACCACTCAATTCTCAGTTTCTCCACTCACTGCCTCCATCTTTGGTGACTGATAGTGATGTTGCACTCTCAACCCCTGGGTAAACACTTTTGATCACAAGTCAAGTGGTGGAAGGTAACCAGTCTCCAAACACTTGCAATCACGCTCAGAGAGACTGGTTAAGGTTTACGAATAACTACCATCCAATTTATAAATGCAGACAGATCACCAGCATGTTGCCATCAGTCTGAGTGGTCTTTCTGCAGTAGGTGACTGGATTCAGCTGGCTGCCAACTGGTTATATTCCAGTTTACGGTCAAGACTGCCAAGCACCGATGTCATCTGGCAGTTAAATCTCCATCCTGCTGCAGCTATTTACAAATTTGTGTTTCAGATCTGTGAGGTTCTGTCCACACTCTGGATTCAAGTATGAATTTCTGTGTATGCAGATGGCAACAAATTAGCCATTTTCACTCATTTATCACAGTTAATTGCCTGATTATCACAAACAGGTTGCATGTAATTGCCAACCTGATAACTGATTACAGACCGACTCCGTCTTATTGCACTTTTATCATCGTCTTGACGCACAATTATTTTCAAGCAGAGTATTTATAGTTTTGTGCTCAGGAGTACAGTAGCAATCCCATATATCCTTATATTTTTATGCTGCAAAAAGAAAAGAAAACATTAAAGTAGGTAGAAGCCTTGCATTCACTAGTCCATTAAAAACGAAAAAGCAATCACTGGGCAAACAGCGCCCCCGATACCTGTAGCATACTGTAGTTATAAGGAAGCAGCATTTTTCATAGAGTTCTAGTAAATATGAAAAGTCAGTCAACTGTTTGGAGGCTTTACTTTTGTGTGTTTTCTCTACATTTGAGGAAACAAAGCTGCTACAGTTAGTACCAGCTGATATGTGTTGTTGCCTGCTTTGTGCACTAGATGGCGCCCTTAATAAACTTTACAGAGGCTGAAGCAGAGGCTTGATGGCCTGAACTCAAACGAAAGCGCATCAGTGAGGCTGCGTTACTGCCTGGGTGCATCTGAGGGGGCCGGGTCAAGTTATTACAAAGCTCCAACGCCGCTCCACTATGTTGTGTAATAAATGGTTAAGAAAACTGCCACATGTGTGTATTATGATGACTACTTTAGTGTGTCTTTTAAAAGTTGTTAAGTCTCAGCTTTAAGTAGTAAGTAAGTAAAATTTATTTATATAGCGCTTTTCACAGATGAAAATCACAAAGTGCTTTACAACACAGGAAATGGGAATATAAAAACAATATAACAGTAAATAAAACAATGTAAAACAATAAAACTATAAAAACAGCATAAGAAGAAATTAATCAAATGCTTTTCTAAATAAAAATGTCTTCAGCTGTTTCTTAAAAGAATCAGTGGAGTCCGTGCAGCGAAGAGACAGTGGGAGAGAATTCCACAACCGTGGTGCCACAGTCTGAAAGGACTGATGAGCTCAGATTCAGGCATTAAATCACACAAATGACAAAAAGACACTCACTGTTTTGCATCCTGCGTTTTTGCAGCGGGTCCCGCAAATAACAGCCTGACTCTCTGTTGGAAAAAACAAAAACAGAGATAAGACACTAACAAGTCCAAGTTTTATTCTAACAGAGCAGTGAGAGTGCACGCAGCTTTGATGTATTGATTTGTGCTGTACTGCGATCACATTATTCTCAGTGTGCAGACATTTTTTCCCCTCTTTTTCAGAAACGTGCGATAAAACTGGAAGTGTGCAGCACATACTTAGAAAAAAACTACACTTGTCATTTGACGTGAAGCTTACACAGCTGCTGCTGAGGTGGTGGAGGGCGGTGAGAGACTGCATTCCTGATATTTTTTCACTGTATCACTCTGATCTGGAGTAAGAGTGAGACACGTGCACTCCTGAATCCACGATAAACCCGCCTTACCGGCTCATTCTGACTTTAATTGAATCTGAAAAGTTTACTTTTCCCTAAATGAGAAACACCTGCTAGTGTAGCATCAATATTTCAAACTGTTTCCAATACACGTCGACTCGTCTTTCACAGATATCGATTTGACTGCGGCGCCTCGCTTACTTTGCCTCGTTTAAAGATTTACGCACCCGATTTCAGAAAAGTCTCAATGCAGAGCTGATTGTTTTGAAGAAAGTTTATTTAAGTGACTTTGAGGTTTTTCCCACACTAACATCTCTAGAGTTTAGAGAGAATGATGTGAAAGAGAAAATCCAGGGAAAAGCAATTCACAGGGAGAAAATGTCTTGTTGACACCTGAGCAGAAAGATCAGTCGACTCAAATAACCACTCGTCACAAGCAAACTATGCAGAAGAGCATCTCTGAACGCACAACACGCTGAACCTCGAAGCAGAAGACCACGCCAACTATCTGCTGCTGTCAAGTTAATATGGACCGAAGTCTCTGAGAAGTTTCCAGCAGCTCGTCGAATCTGTTCCAGGAAGAGTTAAAGAAGCTGTGAAGGCAACCCAGCGATAACGAGGTGTACATTTAAGTACTGAGCTCAGAAAACAGGTCAGACTTCAGACTGCTTATGGGTCTGTATCACATCAGTCAGCACGGACATCCCTAACATAGCTTCAGAAGCCCCGCCCACCTCCCCGTTCAACCCTTCTGTTTGTGAAGGAGGTTGGCTCAAAGCAGGAAGCACAGGGATTATTTTGAACTGTGAATCATGCAAAGCTGCTCTATCAGAGTTCAAAAAGTTAAAGTTTCATTTCTCTGTACCACCCCTGAAGAAACAACACTGTAAACCAGGGGTGGGGAACTCCAGGCCTCAAGGGCCGGTGTGACTCGGACCCGGCCTTTTCTGTCTACGTGGGCCCTTCAAAGACCGGCCCACGCAGCGCTAGCTCAGTAGGTAGAGTTGTTGCCGCATGATCGGAAGGTCGGTGGTTCAAATCCACTGAACAGCTACCCTGAGGTACCCCTGAGCAAGGTACCATCCCTACACACTGCTCCCTTCAAGACATGTTGAGGAGGTAATGTAGCCTAAATCAATTGTGTTGGATGAAGGACACATCTAAAACCTGCAGGACACCGGCCTGTGAGGCCTGGAGTTGCCCACCCCTGGAGTAAACGTTTGTTGTGATTCTTTTAAACGGTGAGCGTTTGTGTACCTTTCTTCTCGTTCTCTCCTCTCTTGCTGATGTCCAGTTTCTCCAGCGCCTGAGCCAGCGACGCCGACACCTTCTGGGGAAGTTTGGTCATGGGCTCGTCTGAACTGTGCACGCGCAGAGAAATGAACACACACACACACACACGTTACAACAGAGAAATGAACACACACATACACAAGCATGAGCAGACTGACACACAAGAGTTACGCAGTGAATAATTTATTCCAGCCGTAACCTCACGGTGACCCCCGTGACCTCCCCCCCCATGACTTCGCTGCACAGATAAAGCAAACAGGGACAAACACACAACGTGACAAACTCCAGCGATCACACGCGCATCAGAAAAAGGTGGATGCTGATATAAATGAGAGCTGACTGCAGATCTCAAACACACACCTGGGTCTCTCCTTCTGCAGCATCTCTGCAGATTTGGGGCCCTGATAGATTATCTCTCGGCCTTCGGCGTGTTTAATCTCGCCCTTATCCGACGACACCTCGGGCCTCAGAGGCTCCTGGGGTTTCACGTCGCTGTGGCGCCCGCGGGTACAGCCCTGCGTTCAAAACCACACGGGTCACTTCAGTCATGCTCAGGTAACGAAGCTCTGGATGAGATTCCAGATCCCACATACCTGATGAAACCTTTCACGCTCCTGTGACAGCTTCAGTTTTTCAGTTCTTATTAGTTTGTTGCTTTGTTAAATACAAGTCATTTAAGCTCACACCAGTGACTCCAACCTCGCTCATCTTGACAGAAAAACATCAAACATGCATTTTATGTGATAGGATAGACTGTATATTTATTTAATAGTTATTTTCCAGCTTTTTAGTTATGAAATCTCAAACCAAGCCCTCACCAGAATCTTGATTTCAGGTTAGTAAGTGGAAATTTCAGGATCCCCACTTCATAATTTCATGATAATAACCTGAAATTTTAACTTCTGCTAACGTCTTGTTCACTGGCAGAAACTTCCCAACTTAACTAACTTAACACATTATTCGTCATTTTAGACTCATAATCTGGTTACCTTTTAAAATAATCCAGTAGATTTTCAAAATGTACTTTTTTGCTCTTACAGTGCAGAACTGATGATACTGATACAGAGTGTGTAAGTATTTGGTAACAGCTGAAAGAAGGTACACAATATTTTTGTACTCACGTTTTTGTTTTCATTGATTGTTTCTGTCACAAAAATGTAAAAGATTCAGGTAATTAACCAAACTAACTTGAAATTTTGAGATAAGTCGATATTTTGAGATGATAACCTGAAATTGTAACTTGCGGAGCGCAAAACTTTGAGGGGCAGACACGAGCTCCCATACGTTAAAGACCAATTAAATATATTGTGTACATGCAACTATTACCAGCAAATAAAAGTTCAGCCTTCGCTCCGTCTGGAAGAATTATTTGTGTATTTATTTTATGTATTTACCTTTTTCAGTGGCTAAATCAACCTCCCATATTGGTTTTTACATCTTTGTGTACGCTCTTCATCTTTAAATGCCATCTGCATGTCCTGGGCTGAAGATGAAACATCCTGATAACTGGGCAGCAAATTTTCAACATAAAACAAACATAGATTTCCCGCTAATTAAGCCCTCAGTCATCATTCAGAGCTAACCTCTCCGTCCTGCATGATTAAGCTCATTTTAATGGTTGAAAAAGTATCATACTTCATTACAACACTGGGGTTTTAGTTGGTTTAAAATAAATGTTGGAAATGCCCGACACTAACTCTCATTAGGTTTCACTCCACTGCTTTTGCTGCCACCTGATTAAACATTCATCAAAAGAGCTCCATGTTTTCTCCTAATTTATTCCCTGTTTTTTTGGTAATTTCACCATGACAAACACTTCTGGAGCGTGGACCCTGAGCTTGTGTTACCTTGATGGAGAGAAACTCAGAGAAGTCTGTCGTCCTTTTCCTACAGCAGGACCAGCCCTGGAGACACAAACAAGCAAACATGTGATTAGCGTTGAGTTTTATTCTCCCACTCGAGTCAGACTCTAAGAGGAGAGTTTACCTTCAGTGCATCGTGGAAGACGGGGGCTCCCGGGTGGAAGAGGCAGGAATCTTTTAGAGTGGAGATAAAGACAACATGAGTCTGCATATAGACACTCACTGAGATCCCAGCTGCTCACAGGGTCACTGCAGTGTGGAGGTGCCGTGTGTCCCTTATAAGGAAGGAAGATGGCCGTCTCTCTCACACGGACACAACTTCTACTTGATGTCACGCAAACCAGCGCGTGATCAGTCAATCTGTCACGATCACAGGTTCACACACTGTTCATGTTTAGTGCACACAATCAGAATTTGAATCGAGTCCCAAAACATTACATTAAAGTAAAACTATTCATGAGTGCTCCCTTTCAAAATAAAAAGTGCAGAGCTCCTTTTAAAGGTGGCTGAAAATTTAGACGTCATCATCATCATGAAGGAAATTCTGTTTCTTCGGACAACCTACAAGTGTCATCTCACACCCAGTTTTCTTCCACTTCAGCTCCAGGTCTTTGATAACAGGATGACTCAGAGTCGCTGTAACAGGTTTAAAGTAAAGGAGCAGACACATGCAGGAGGATCTTACCATCCTTGTTCTTGTCGGGGTCAAACTTCTGCCCACAGCCTTTGTTGTAGCACAGCAGAGCCATGTTGGCCTCGTGGACTGCGATGTCTTCTTCTTCACTGTACAGTCTGCACTCGTTCGCTTGCGTTTAGATATGTTCCTTCACACCGGCCGTGTCTCCAGGTCTTAATGCCTCGGTCGGGTCTCCAGAAGTTTCTCCAGCCAGGCAGAAAGGAGAGATCCAGAAGGAGTCGTCGCCTTGTGGAGAAGTGAGAGATAGAGAGGGGGGGTCTCCGTCTCTCTCTGGTTCAGGCCTGGCTGAATGAAAGATAAAAATAGCAGCTCACCTCCCTCCTACCCCCACGCCCCTCTCGCAATTTACAGCTGTCAAAACTTATCTGGGGGTGGGGGCTGACATTCCTCCCGGTGAGTGTCGGCTGTCACAAACAGGCCTGCCGCGGCCCGGCAGCAGCCACAATAGGACTGACAACTCCTGGATTTCCTGTCACTCTGTGCGCTGGATCCACTGCAGAGACGGCAAACCAGTGCTCGAGACGCTGAGAGACATTTTAATTCCACCCTGTGCTGAAACTTCCTCAGCGCTTTTAAGGTGATTGTGTTCCACGTGTGACACTCAGTGAACGTTAATAACTGGTCTTCAGGGAAGATTGTCCACAACACTTTGGAGCCCGCCTAGTTCAGGGACCCCTAAACTCATGTGACACGAAGCCATAGGAAGGGAATACTTAATCCCAGTGTGTCCCAGCACCATGCCACTTCTTTTGTGTATATTTGTACCTCCACAAGACTACAAGACCAAAGCACAGCGATTTAGGCGAACTTATAGTGGGCTTTCATTCGTACAACATTTTGAAACTGGGTTGTTTTTTTTTTTTTAACGTGCTAAAGATATCAAGAGATGCCATCATGAATGGAAGTGCAGAGGATTTACAACAAAGTGCAAACCACTGGTTACACTCAGGAACAGGAAGTCCAGACAGATGAAACAAACTTGTTTCCAGTGCGCCACATCACCCGTCAAACATGGTGGAGGTGTTGTTATGGCATTGGCACATATGCGAGCCAGTAAAAGCAGGTCTTGAGTACTCAGTGACGACGTGACTGCTGACAGAAGCAGCAGGGATGAAGTCTCTGCACACCTCACTCAAGCAACTCATGAGTTTCTCAAGATAAAGAAAGAAAACTACTCCAAATGAGTCACCTGCTCTCCAACCAACAGAGCAGCTTTTTAGTTACTAACCACAGGCGGAGAGACCCACAACCAACCAGCAGTTAAAGGTCTGTTAGATCATCTCAGTGCAGGAAATGCAGCATCTGTCGATGTTCCCGAGTTTTAGAGTTCGGGCTGTGATTGATTGCAAAAGCTTTTCATCCAACTATTAAAAACAATCCTTGTGTTTAAAATGTTTGTTTGTACAATGACTTGAATTAAAGTCGGCACTTCAATCACATCCCGACTACAACAAACTGTCCTGATACTTATGGACCTAACTGCATCCGTGTGGCAGCACAGCCTGCTCTCACATCTCCCTGACAGGACAGTTAATTCAGCTCAGGCTAACACTGTGCAGAAAGGCATTTATTTATATGCCGGCCTTTTGTAGTTTGCTCCTAAAATATCTTTCATCCCGAGCACACTGAGACAAACTGCCAGCGACTGCAGGCGACAATAAATTATTCACTCGAGACAAAACACTGCTGTTTGTCAGGCACAGGACTTTTTAAGTGATTTATTTCCTACAAAGAATCAGGAATAAGAAAAAACAAAAAACCCTGAAATATGACCCAGTGTATCAGCGGCAGCATCAGCGAGCAGCCCTCGATGTGATTGTGGAACAAATGTGTACAAACGCTTTCATTATTCAGGGCTCAGCGGGAGTCGGGAGGTGGGAACACGTTTCCAAATCCCTCGCTGTGGGAGCGCTGATATCATGGCAGACAATGGCGGAGCAAATCAGAGGCGTTTCACGCCAACGTGTAGCAACAAGAAGAGATTAGAGGTATAGACTGTAATCAGACGTAAACAAAAAAAACAACAACTATAGGAACTGGAGAGGAGCAGAGGCTGGAGGTTTCCCACGGTGTGGGGATCTTTTGAGGCTTTACTCAAGTTTGTTTGCATCTTTTCAGTGAGCTTTAAGCATAAACGTAGATTTACCAGAATAATGAAGGCGTTTATTGTCGTAAATGACATTTATACGGTGTGGTAAATGTTTTCTCAGAGGAGTTGGGTACATAATAAAAGAATGCTGAGGAGGCAATGTGAACTAAAGGGAAGAGTTTAAACGAATGCATTGCAGATACGCAGTGACGCGAGGATGCTGCAGGCTGAAAACAGAAGGTTTAACTGCATTGTGGCTGGTTAGCAGGATTCAGCGGTGTAGAACAAAGAAGAGGATAAACATCTTTTAAAGGTGATCATGTGGCTCAAACTAACAGTTCATTTACTGACACTTAATAAACCCACTCTGACGTCCCCCAGCGTTTATAGGCTACTGTGTTTTTTTACCCATCTCATACTTGAAGGGAAACACTGGGTTTTCTGCACAGGGTGCTGGTACAGTTATCCAGACAGCAGGCCATACTGACCACAAACACATGAAAAGGGCAACAAACATGATTGAGTGACTGTTAGCAGCAGGAATGCAGTTTAATCATGTATAAGTTTAAGACTTAATTCAGTTTAAATGTGACACGGTTTAACCTGTGCATAACTACAGACACTGTAAGCATGTTTATTTCTGCTGTAATTTACTCACTTTTGGAGTAAACCTGACCCGGTGGAGGAATAATAACCACATGTTCACAAAGTTTGTCTGTTTCCCTCCCTTATCTCTTCAAGATGATCCCAAACCGCTGCAGTAATGATGAGGTCCGGGCACTGGGGAGGCCAATCCATGACTGATAGTGTTCCACTTTGTGTTTTTACTGCACTGCCAGTGTCTTTGGGATCATTGTCATGCTGAAAAATAAAGGCAATCAAATGATTTCCAGATAGTGGACATTTTTATGGTCGATCAAAATCTGATGGTACTTTTAAGTATTCTTCACAGCCACCTGCACACCATGCAGCTAACAGCTGTTTGGAAATCACTTTGTTGGTGCAGAAATACTGTTTTATGTGTGTCAGATTGTGCTGTCTTTGACATTTTTATAGATTTAACTGAAGACATTGGGACAAATGATGCATTCTTATGACAGGGTGCTTTTAACAAATGTGTTATTTGCCAAGTCGTGTCATGTGCAGACAAAACACTGCTTCATCTCTTGAGTTGTGCATGTTTTCTGTGCACACAACTCAAGCGTGCAAATGAGGGCTGGCTCAGGACTTTTACACAGTACAGAAAATGTACATTTTATCAGTGACGTGTAGCATATTTTGCACTGCATCTGTGCCAAAAAATTATTCGCAGTTAATTTGGATAATACATTTAATGTGACAGGATCTGATCTTATATCCACATCCCCTGATTTAAAGCCCTCAGATGTGGTGAGTGCACAGTAACTCTCCTGCATCAGCAACGAATGTTGACGGTTCAAGCCTGCAGCTGGAGGCAGATGTAAGATTTTAATGCGTGCCTTTGATTAACGTCAAACAGTCCATTTTCTTCAAATAAACACGCTCAAAAAGCGACCGCCGAATCTGCCAGTCTCGATCAAATTTAAGAAGATCGCTGCTGGTAGAAAAACTGCTGAAATATTTTGTGGACTGTTTAAAAATCTCACTTAAAAAAAAAAGAAAAAAAAGTTGCGCAATTAAGAAAACACATTCTCAAGCCCTCGGGGTGGCGCAATTAAAAATCAGAAGCTGAGCCGTTTGACACTCTGAGACCTTGAATGGTGAATATTTTCAGAGTTTATAGACTTTCCGACTGTTTGAGTTAAAAGATCACAAAAACACTCGCTTAGGAATGAAAATGACTTTTTATTTCTTTCAAAAAAAAAAAAAAAAAATAGAGAGAGAAAACAAGTCCCTAGAATAAACAAATATACTGCTGTAAAATAAAAGCCTGTGATTTTTTTTGTTTTTGTCAACTGTAACATCTGTTTGCCTTTCCATGCTTGATACAATCCATATATTTCTGCTTTAAATAAATAGAAAACATGTACAAAGAAAGAGATGGGGGGGAGGAGACAGAAGAGGAATCAGAGATTAAAAGCTGTACTCTGCTCCGAAAAACATTTGGCATCATTGTGAAACTCATGGCTGATCCTGAAGTACGGGGCAGGTCTGCAGCCCTCCAAAGATTTCTGCATCGTCTGTCTGTTCAGCCTGCCCCCACCGAGTAGCAATCATACCTATATACTGCTGTAAGAACGCTAATATCTTTCAAGTTCAGAAAAATAAAGAGTAAATGAAAATAATGCAGATTATGAGTATGTCTTTAAGCTGTGTTGTGAGTGTGAAGGTGTGCATTTCTCTATATACAGTATAGTGAGGCAGCAATCCGAGGGTTCTTACCAAAAAACAGATGTAGAAAAAACAGAACGTGCACAAGAGATCATCGACTCGACACACCGACTCACCGACACAAAAATGGGGGGGATTTACCATCGAACAGCCTCTCTCTTTTTGCTCGTCTTCCTTTTCTTGGGGGGATGGCGGCAGGGGGGTTGACTCTGCTGCGACCCACAGGGGAGGCCGCAAACCAAGCAACTAATGTGAGATCTCTGGGACAAGTTCAACCGGGTGGTTACAGCGGCCAAACATCTGTCAGTCCAGACAAAGCGATGAACCTGCCCTTGCGCTCAGATAATCCATCCGTCCCTTCGCGGTGTCGGGGCCGTTTAAAGCAGCAACAACAACAACAACAGGAGGGAATTTATCATGAGCACCACCGCTGCGACTGTCATATCATGCTTTCTTAAAAAATCCTTTGCAAGGGTGGGGGGGGGACAAGAAACACCAACAACACAACCATGCACTCCCCGAGAAAAAGAGAGATGGCTCGCCAGAGAGGAGTCTGCTCGCTCAACGCCTCAGCAGACGTTTTAATATGACATCAAGGTTTATCCATGTATCCTCCTCCACTTAGATTCATGCTACAACAATGCAGACAGGCGGCAGCAGCTTTTTTTTTTTTTCTTTCTTTTTTTAAAGTTGAAAGAAACTTTGCAACGTGGCCACGAGGTTCCCCAGGACTGATCCCAGCAGGCTAACAGCAGAAAACAGCGGTCGAGGCGGGAAAGTCTCAGCTGTAAATGTGAGAAAGAGTCTGAATTTGAGGGAAGGTGAAGCACTGAATAAGGCCCGCATGCTTGGCCACACCTTATGTGATAAAGCCGTAAAAACTATTGGCAAGTTGCACTGACGCTAAAGGTAACGAGCCAGCAACGGAAAAACCACCGCGGCCATTTTTTCTGAACCCACTCAATCTTTCGACATCGGAACATTTTAAAACCAGTCGAATAACCTGATCCCAACTGGCAGCAGTAGGTTCCACTCAGAGAAAGTAGAACAAAAATAACAAAAGAAACGCAAAGACTGCAAAGATTACATTAAAGCAAACAGTTAACCTGATTTCACCTCCACGTCCTGGCTCTCATTTTACCCTTCTTCATTTCAAAGCCTAATGAGACTATTACAAACTTGTTATCAATCATCAGATCTGCAGTTAGACCTCATGTGATTTATTACTTTATCATCCAGGGCTATGACGACCTGATCCTGGATCAGTGCCAAGCAAATAAAGCAGCTTTTATTTGTGAAGTGTCAATTTATCACATAAGATTAGAGACAGTAAGGCAGCTGTCCTAGAATATAAAAAAGGTCTCATATTGGTGCCAAAAAAAGGACACATCCATTAACAAAATACTTTTCTTTTTAAAGCTGGGACTCAAAAACACAGGTGGCCCAGAGGAGGGGACGTTTTGAAGATTGAGAAGATCCAAAGAGTCCATATTTAGGACACAGGGAGCATCAGGAACATCCAATCACAGAATTTATCGACTATTTAAGAACTCCAGGTCCAGCTGCTACTGTTCGCGGGCTTAGAGTGCAGCCAAGATATCTGGATGAATCCTGCTGTTGTTCTCTACAGACCTGCGCACAACCAAAGCTCAAAGGAGATTGGAAAACAGAACTTGTACTACAAGTTGAAACCAGAAAGCTTACGGCAGCAAAGACCTAAAGATTCTGCATAGTCGTATTTGTTAGAAGCCGTAGATAAGCTTGAGGTACGTCTCTCCAGCCTGCAAGCCGGCAAACATAAGCACGTTTTTCTTTGACTGCAAAAAGGCCAATATGCCACGTCTCGAAAACAAATTTACACGCAGTGGGCAAGCACGAACAAACGACGAAATCCAAGACAGAAACGAGGAATTCACTGGCGTAAAAAAACAATAAAAAAAAAAAAACCCAAACAGATTAAGTTTCCTGTGTTCTGCTCGAAGATCACTTGTGGCAGTTACTACGTCGTTGAGATTTAAGAGGTGTGCTCAACCACTGGGTACGAATGACATCCTTCTCTGCGTAGGTTTGCAAAGACATTTCGGTGCCTCTCCGCAGAGCTATAATAAAACTAACAGGGAAGAGAGCTAATATCTCGATCAACTGTCCCAGTGATCAGTGGACTCACTACTTTCCATAATTTTCCTAAGTGCCCCTCAACAACAGCTGGTTGACTGACAAACCTCCCAGTCACAGCTGACATCTAAGTTCCAACACTTCTTGGACTACATACTTCACTAGTTCTAGAAAAGCACCATTTTAGCTCGCCCACTTGTAACAAAACACCTGGATATTCAAGCGTCTTGTGATTCGCCGTCGAGGTCCAACCGGAGACACTCTGTAGGCTGCTGACATCATGACTGGCAAATATGATTGGAGATGGAGGGGAAAAAAAAAGATGGGGACCTCACCTACCAAACACTGCAGAGATGTTAAGGAAAAGCTCGAGAACTACAAAGCCTGAGAGCCGGTGAGAGGTTTAATCTACTGCTAAAAGACTGAGACATCAAGAGAGATAATAGAGCTACAGTTACTGGCGGAGAAGAGGACGGGGTGGGAAAACCTGCTGTGGGAGGTGTTCCACAGGTTTCAGGGGATACTATGAAGAGAGGCTAAGCTAACACAAGACTGCAACAGGAAGCTTCTAGAAGCAGCATCTATCCAACAGCGACAGGGATGAGTGGACAATCTAGACAGAAACTGGTTATTATAGCTATTTTTTTACTTACACATATCTACACATACCAACAGTGACAAACAGGCTAAAGAAGCATCCTAGAGAAAGACCAACTGGACCAGACAGGCTCAAGCGAGATTGTAGAGACTTCACAGCAGAGTGGGCGATGAGTTTGATACTGGACAACCACTGATGGCTGGGATGGAGATGCTGGACTGAGATCGGGAATGGTACTAAAAAGCTTCAAGTTCATTGTTAGAATGGCAGGAGAGTAACCTTGAGTCTCCCGCCAAAGTGGCTGGTAGATTTGACAAACCTATTATGTTGTAAAACCCTAAACTACTTCTACACACTTCAAATCTTCAACTTTTTCATACCGGAAAAGAAACAAAACCCCCAAAAACAACAGCTCTGCTACGGCAGGATAGCCACTTGAGTGCAACATTTTTGCATGTGCATTTTTGCAACAAAATTTGACTTTATAAAAACAAATCAAGCCCATTTTGTGTTAAACTTATCGGATCAAGTCTGGCTTAAAATTTGACCCTCAGAAATAGCCCTCGATGAAGAAAAGAAAATACGTTCACATAAATGTGTAAGGATACACGTGGACACGAGAAGTCGTTATGCATAAATACACCCACAGTCAAACTCATGGGGATGGATGCTTTGGCTGAGCTGAAGAGTCAAATTTGATCCCCACAGATTCTTGGAACCACTGAGCGAGGGAGACGCCACAGGTTCAGTGTCGCACTTACAGCCACTCACTTTGATTCAGTGCAATTAAAAGTGAATTCAACTTGATTCAGTAACATTTAACTCACTCTGTGCCGCTGTCATCGATCACTGGCACATACTGTGGATCTGCCAAGAAGTTGTACCTAATGAAACAAAGCTCAAATCCTTAAAGACTGGTTGATGAGCTGATGAAGAAGACAGGAAAAACAGATACACACAGATAGATCCAACTGAGGCAGAAAGTCAACAAACCACAGGCTAACAATGCTAATTAACACAGAGATGAAACAAAAATACACTTTACCTATTCCTAAACTGACCACCAAGTTGAACACAATGTACAGTTGGAGGTCTCGTCACACCAACGTTTGACACAGCAAATGTCTGCTAATTTTTTAAAATCAAGTTTAACTGTTGTGATCTTTGATAGAAAACTGTTGCCACCAGGATGTGTTTGGGGGAGAAAGGTGGTTCTTCTGAAGCCTGTTAGAGCATTTATTCCTGTACTGCTGTCTAACATTTATGGATTAACTAAACTTAGCGCTAACCCTTTCACAAACCTGAAGGAAGTCCGGCCTCCTTTGTTCCGATGCCCTTAAAGTTCTACATTTTGGACTACCCTTTATTGAGCTCAACAACAAGTTTGAGAGTCAATAAATAACTTTGATCCATTTTTTTGGAGCATCTTTGACTTCAGGGTCTAACTTGTAAAAGTCAAACTCAGGTGTAAGACTGCTCCTCTCCATTGGCCCATCACAGCAGCTGCACCTTTATTCCAAAGTCAACAAACCACGGATATAATTTCTTCAAAGTTGTCCTTCAAAATTCAAGAATGTTGCAAACAGCGGCCATGATTAAAATTTGTCTTAATAACTCAACATTTTGAGTAATGCATCTCGAAACTACAATATACGCAATTCAAAATTTTGAGATAGCCCAGAATTTAGTCTCTTTTGGGCAGTTGTTACATTTTGTCTGTGGTAGAAACAAGCGTCCAGTGTCCTGATGCCCTGGATGATCTTTTATTTTTGTATGTAGTAATGGGAGTTTTCATTTGAAAACAGCACTGCTTAGTGACTTAAGGAAAATTGCTAATGGTGCAGCTCTGGATAAGTTTAACGTAGGCCAACCTCATGCTGTTGTAGCTTATTAGCTACGTGCACAATTCTTTTCCTTACCGTTTCTCAGAGTGAAAACTTCAAAAAATTTATTCAACTAAATTTCTATAATAATTTTCAGAAAAAATAAACTACCCACTAGAAAAACAAAGGATAATAACAAAAAAAATCCCAAACTACCAAATTACTATCTAACTGCTATTAGCTTAGTTTTGCTGTGTCACTTTCTGGTGTGACTAGGCCTTAAAACATAATTTCATACAGTGCTAGCATGCTGTGCCTGCTAGCTCCCATCTTTCTGTGTGTATCTGTAGCATTACGTGGAGAAAAACAATGCTGTATGAGTAACAAAGACTTTAGCTCAAAACCCTTAACAACAAACGCTCAATTACTATTAACAAATGCTTCAACAAATCGCTGTACAAGCCCCGATAACATTCAGGAGAAGTTGGCGAAGAAAAACTGACAGAAAAATACAAATATATCCCAACAAAGCGGAAAATTACAGGAAACACACCGAAGAGGATTTGCCACTAAATCTCTTGCTAAGTGGACGGTTGTGGACGCAGACAGGGAGCGAGGGTGGGGATGGAGAGGAGGTCCGTGGCAAAGGTATTGTCTGAAACAACTGCTGAGCACACACGTGCGTACACACACACGCGCGCACACACACACACACAATAAAACAAACACTTGTCTTCTCGTAAGTGCTCCAAAGTTGCCGTTGCAGGCGAGCAGTGACCCACAGAGGACAAAATAGCACCAGTATGAAATAAAGCTAATTCTGCAGCAGAGACTCTCACAGCAGTCAGACACATTTAGCCTGACTGAAAACTAGAGGTAGGATTTCCTGAATCCCCTCTTCCCTCCTCCCCGTCGTTCTCTCTCGTCCTTATTCCCTCTCCTGAAACATCACTCCATCGATAGGAACACAAATCAGACAATAAACAGAGAGAAGCTACACACACACACACACACACACACACACACACACACACACACACACACACACACACACACAGGTGCAAAGAGTTGTTTCAGACAACGACCAGCCTGGGTAACATCTTCCCCATCGAACCCCTGCCATCGCTCAGTCCATCCTTTTCGTCATCTTCTCTTCCTCTTTCCAACTTGACTTTTGGTGTCAGCCCGGTTATCTTGTGTCAGTCTGTCGTTTCAGCTTGAGCAAATCATCCTTCCGTCCATCTCATCATCATCATCCTCTTGTGTTTGTTTATGCTGTTTGTTTGTTTGTTTGTATGTATGTTGCTTTTGGCACTCTGCTTCCCCTCCTGACTGGATTACATAAACTGCATCTAAACAGACAAAGAAGAGAGGACATGATAGGAGAAACGGTTTGTTTTGATCACAGAGAAGCCCTCTGACACTCTGCTCTGACGGCAGTAAAGAATTTCTCAATGGGAAATTACACAAAAAAAACGGAGGGTGAGGAAAAATGGCAAGATAAAACGAGATAAAAAAACAATACAAACAAACTTCTATGAAAAATACCAGCATTTCTAAAAATTGCTGAATAATTGAACTTCCCCGGCCCTCTTAAAAGCTATCAGATGAAAACACAGTTGACCTGGTGATCATTCTTGACCCCGTCTTCTATGCATTTGTTGCTTTTGAGATGACTTTGTGTGCCAAATGTTATTTATGTACTGCTGGTTTTGTTTTCAACCAGTCTGCCACTCTCAGGTTTTCTGTGGGTGACTCAAGACGACACATCTGTGTCACAGGTTGGGAGGATTTTCTTTAAGGAATCAGGGGAAAAACAAACCTTTTTTTTTTCACTATTTTTCACAAACTACCTGTGCTTGTCTTTCTATTTCAGTGTTTCCCTTTTACAGTCGTGTTGCAAATTTCTAGCCATCCAGCATCCTGGGGTCACCTCTTTAATGTTGACCTTAAATCTGGTGTTGTGCCCACGAGGTGCCCATTTTCACAGAAAATATGCCTCTTTTCTACTCGTACCTTCTCAGCTCGACTTTTACGGTTTTCAATTACGTGGTAGTAGCTGTTACTTTTTAGTACCTGATGGGCCGAGGTTCCAGTCTGAAAATGTGAGGTCAACAGACTGCATGTCATCGATTGGTCACTCAGTAGCGAGATTGAAAACAAAAACTGCCATTTTTGAAGCTCTGCAATGACTCAAATGGCTCCACAAAAACCAGAATCGTGGTGTCGAGTCTGACAAAAAGCCACAGACCATCAACACCATCACCTCGACGTCCTCCATTGTTGCGTTATGATTGCGACGCTTATAAATGTCATAGACTTGCGGAAGCGTTGCTATAACGACCCAACACATATTGAGCTGGTACTCAATTATAATGGGAAACAACTGAAAGACATTTGATTCAAGTAAAGCCAAGTAGGTATCAGTGGAAAGAGGCATAAAATGGATGGAGCTCGTGGTCGTGTACAGTGAGGCCAACGAGGAATTTTAAATTCTTAAAATTTTCTTTTTTATGTCTTTTTAATGGACACCAGGGGCCGATAACTGGTTCTAAAAAACCCCCCCAAAAAAACAAAACCCAAAATCCACAACCAACTCATAAAACCTCATAACTGATAAAGTGTCACTGATCAAAACAGAAATCTTGGTAAGAGCATGTTGTTGCATGAACTTCCTGTTTTGCCACCCACAAAGAACGTGAGAATTTAAACTGATGTTGTAATCATAATAAGAGCAGCTCTGTTATTAGCAGTTAATCTTCTCTAAGTTGGTTCAAGCCTCAAGTTTCGAAAAATTTGCATGCAAATTCATTCAAAACTTTCTGAGTAATCCTGCTAACACACTGCCAAACAAACACACCGAGCCTGGCCAAATTATTAAGGTCAGGGTGACTTTGAGTCCAACATTTTCAATCCCGTCATTTAATTTCCTAAAAGTAATCAGCTGTTAAGATGTTAAAAATGTATGAGAGTTACCTGGGCTCCGGGCATGGGTGCGAAGGGGTTAGTGGGTCTTAGAACAGGCTGGTTGTACATCATTGGCTGAGGAGCCATCACAGGTACCCCACCCATCTGACCCATCTGGGGAGGAACCTGGACAAAGGTAAGATGCAGAGAGATGTTTGCAAAGTAAAAATTAAAGAAAGAAAGACATAAGGTTTTAAAAAAATATATTGTTATACGCAGTAATGGAAACAAGACAACCAGCCGCTCAGCGGTGGCTAAGCACGGAGCAATCATTTTAAAAATGATTTCATCACCCAACAAAGTCAGTTTTCAAGCTCATTGTGTTTAATCTGAGGGTGAAACTCCTTTTGTTTTACAGGTGAAGTGTGCCAAACATTACACTCTAGGTAGTGGGACAGTCTTCAGCAGCTGAACATACTGGCTGTTCTGAGCGCGCCTTGTAAGGAAAATAAGGTGACTGGAGTTCTTTAAATTTCGTGCAGATGTTTCACATCTCATCCAATAAGTTTCTTCAGGTCTAAAACCAGAAGGTGGCGAGTCCCAGGCATTTAAACCCTCCTGGGAGTTGACCCACTTTTAACCCTTTAAGACCTACCATAGAACCAAGTCCGCCAGAGCTTATATTATATTTTTACATGGTGTGGAGCCATTTTTGGGAGCATTTCAAGTTGCTATACATCAATACAACAATTATAGCCCAGATTTTAATAATATGTATTCATTAAGTGCATAGTAATTACATAAATTGCAAAAAAGTGCAATAAACTACAGAAAATTGAAAATCGCTTTTTTTTAAAACATATATTTCTAGTTAGAGAAATTTAAGAGGCTTATCCCTCAAAACTGTAAATACAAAAAAGTTGCACAAAATAGTTTCTAACAACAGGAAATTTATTTTGAGTGTCTTCATAGTTTTATTTTTGAGATACACCAATTTTTTATATACTGCAGGAAAAATGAAAATATTACAATGCAAATTTACAAAGAAAACAGCAGGTGCATCAAAATAAACTATTTCCAGCAGTGCAATTTAAGTTCTAAGCATCCCAGAAACAATACAGAAAAGCACAAAGCCAAATGTGACTTTTAAAAACACCAGTACAGGCTTATAAGGCCCTGAAGGTAAAAAACTACATTTTCCGCGAAAATGTCACTTCCGATTTTGGGCAGGTGGGCATACGATAGTTCGCGCTGACATCTATTCCAACGTAGGAAGTGTTATGAACAGTTGATCGGATCGGCAAAGCCTGTTTCTGGAATATTATGTTTTTGTTGCTGCAAGCGCTTTTTATGCAATTTTTGCAAAGCTATATGTGGAAGGAAACCGTGACCTAGGACAAGCTGATGGCATAAGATGTAAGTACAACAACTCCGGTTTCATATGCCAAACAAATTATTGTGCTAGCTTAACGTGGTTCCGGTTCTACAGGGATTTTAAAATAGTTATGCAAAATGGAGCGTGCCCGCTCCGACCGGTTTTAAAGGGTTAAACATGTGTCTCATCACATGTGCCAAGCTGTGAAAGAGGGCATGGGTCATTATCAGCAGAGGTTTCAGGTGAAACCACTGTGAGACCTTGCCCCATCCTATCATGTGACCCACTGAGGTCACATAATCCTAGTTGTGAGTGGGGGTTCAGGCACCTGGGAAGGGTTCTCAAAACTAGATGGTAGGTGGCAGACTGTCATAGGCCACCCCCTCGGTTCAATGGTGGTCGTTCACAGCGCACATAGATGGACTCATTTACTCCTTTTGTCTTCTCTGTCCAATGTGAACATTGGTCCCCTTGCTCTCAAACTTGGGTGTCCACGCTAGTTATGCTACATTTGAAAACACAGTTTAATTAATAATACAAATACAGCCTTGCAGCTCTAGTCTCCATATAAATCTACGACAGTGCCCCCCCAGGCATGTGTGGGAATATGTTAATATGTGCATGCTTACCATTCCATACACAGGCACTTGCGGTGTGGTCATGGGGAAAGCCATGGGAGCTGGAGCCTGGCAGAAAAACAGAAAACAGGTGTCAACTATCAGAACAAAAGCACCTGACTCAAACATTTCATGGCTTTTGTCACATACGGCTTCAAGCCTTCAAAAAATAAAATAAAAACCTCACAATAAAGCCTACTTTATGTGCAAGGAGAGTACATTTAATGCTCAAGTATGTGCACATTAGGAGCACAATAACACAGCATGCAGTAGGGGTACTTAGTGGATTCCCACTGAGTGCAATCATTACCACTGCTTTAAAAAGGGGTGGCTCAATAGCACAGTGATTGGCCCTGCCCTGCTCACTTTGCAAATCAAATCCACTACAGCTGAACAGGCTTCAAATTCGATGTGACGGGCAATTTGTAGCCATCGTTTACAACCCACGTGTGTCTGCGTCGCCGCCGCCTGACTTCTGCTTGACAAATTGGTAATTTATGGGCGCGAGCGTCTGCGGTACATTGCGGTATCGTGTCGGCGAATATCCTGGATGGAAGTCAGTTTACAAGATGATATGGGCAGGTGCAGGGCGGCGTGCCTCTTGCACAACAGTAGAGGAGTATTAATATCAACAGATGAGTTACTGACAGAGCCCATACGACTTTGATGTCTGTCAAACACAACCAGGAAGCACCTCACTGGGTTTTGGGAACACCTTATAGCGTTTGCACTCTCCTCATCACAAGCCGTGACTGCCTGCTCTGCTGCAGGTCAGCACCCGCTCACCCCACTGTTTGCAAAAACCCATTAAAAACAGCTGCCTTCACAGACCTAATCCATCATCGTAAATGAGACAACCGCGGCATTTTTAACACAATTACAAAGCCTCAATCAAACTGCTGAGAGAGACCGGTAAAATATTTCCATTAAACACAGCAATTAGCTGCATGGGAAAGTCATAGCAGGCTTACGTAAAATGATGAGCTACATGAATTAAGTGAGTGCACTTGTGGGTTTAGTTTTGTTATTGGCAAAAACACAACCACCCCAGCATCATCATTTAATTGTTATTTATGCACTGACACCATAAAAAGGACCTGCTGTGGTCATTTCAAATGAGGCACGTTGACTCTCGGACTCCAGCGTAGCTTTGCATGATTTTTTTGTGTCTGTTTTTGCTACCTCTCCTTTCATGGCCTGTCTAACTTTCTCTTTTGTGACGCGCTGCTCTTTGCAAACAGACAGTTTCATGCGTGAAAAGTTCCCATAGATGTGGAGAATCTCTGGATTAATTTGACACATCTGAAAAAAATGTGACACATAACCGTCAGGCGTGTTCACGAGTTGATTTATTTGTCTTTTATGACGGATATTAAGATAATGAACAGTAAGTACAAGTCAGTGTGACACACTGAGTTTAACAGCCCGTGCATAAAATCAGAGAGCTCAGATTTGACTCAGAGAAGGAATATCTTTCAGTTTCTATTATTTCTAATGTGCCTCACGCGCTGTCTTTGGCTGAAGTTAGATATTCTTGCTCATCATTTAAAAAAAAAAAAAAGTGGCTTCAGGTAAAATTGAGTTTTTCCCCTACTTGCATTATCTTGATGAAATGAGAACATCTGATGTGCCTATTTAATTTTAAGCCAAACTAATGTGACTGCTCCACAGGATGATTTATCACATCACTCGATCTGATTTGATTGTGCGCGCTGTGCGCGCTATGCGAGCTTTTGACTCCAGCATTTTAAAACTTATGAAAACTGAGCCGAAGTCATTTAAAATACTCAGAAAACTGCATCTGAACACTGAAGATTTAAAGTGATTTATAAAAGGAGGAAGATGGGTGGTCCCAGTGAAGAGCACGCCTACCTGACCTTTTCCACCTGAACCACGAGTGAGAAGCTTCTGCACAGATGGTTACAGAGCAGTCAGCTCACTAACTTTTAATGGTGTGTATGGGGATTGAGCAGGGATACCCAAAGTGTGGGCCAAGGCCCCCTGGTGGGCTGTGAAAGTACTGGAGGTGGGTCGCAGTATTAACAGTAATATCAGTTTGTGTTTACAGGTAATAATACTGCAGTATATTTCTAACTAACCGGGCAGCTCACGCAATTTAAAGATATAAAACATTTGAAGAGGAAAAAAAAAGGTCAGAGGTCAAACCTGACCTGATATTTGGATGCAAACTATAATGTGACTTTTACAACAGTGCCATTTTCTAAATGTTGCCAATACAAACAAAGGCAGCAAGATTTTTACGCAAAGTTTTAAAGACAAGACATTTTAAAAAAGCTTGACCTGATTTGACCTTGAAGAGGTCGAAGGTCAGAAGGAACACAGTATTTAGAATCCCCATCGTTCCCTGTATGCCAATATATTGCCGGTACAAACAACAGCAGTCAGAAACAAATAGCTCTATATACCATCATTATCATTTTGACCTTTCACGCCAATCTATTGAACTTGAAGGGGAGGTCAAAGGTCAAATGTGAGACTATTTTAAATCTTTCTATATATGTTAACAAATAAAAACACAATTTCCTTGGTGAAGATAACAAGTAAGCTAGCCAGCCTTCTGCTACTTTAATTGTCCGTCTGTTATTTTTCAGCGTCAAACAGCTTTCTGAGCGATGGCTGCCACAGTCTCAGCCCTGCAGTGTCATTGCCAGGACTTAAATGTGGATGTGAGGTAAAAGATCCTTGCAAAAAAACATTTAAGACCTCTCTGTGCTGATTTTCCACGTTCGATGGCAAGACCCTCAAAATGACCAACTTTGAAGATCTCTCACAAAGCGCAAAGACCTCGCTCAGTGTATACTCCGGTTAAGACGCCCTCAGGAGAAAAGCCAGATAAGGTGAACCTGCGCACCGCCCTCAGGAGATAATCAATCGCAAGTAAGTTCTCGCCTTTGTAGAGCGAGTTGTGACAGTTGCTCAAAAGCATTAATCAAAGTGAACCACAAGTTGTACGAAAAGAAGCCAATTCAGATAAAAAAAAGACGCTTTAATTTATCCATCTTATTGTGCGTTCAGCAGTTGATCAGTGGGTTTGTGGTTTTAGCATTTGAACCCTGATTAAAGATGAAATTGACTTTACTGTCATCTGCACCCGAATCGCTCATTAATTTGCAAACCATCCATCTCTGCTTCCTGTCTGTCTTCACGGCTGCTTGTGCAAAAACGACGGCGAGCATCATTTTTATTCCCTACTTCTTTAAAACACGACAAAAAAACAAAAAGAAACCCGAGACAAAGCAGAGAAGGTGAGACGTGTCGATGCACCGCTGCAGATTCTCAACCGGTGTTTTTGTCCATCTATCTTTACGCCGCCGACGGCTCCTCGGTGCATCGTGTGACACATCCATGAGTTTGTATCCGTCTTTTTATGCTCAATCTCCCACCTGCTGTTCTATCCTTCACCAGCGTGTCTCCCTGCCTATCTGCGCATTAAATAAAAAAAAAAGAAATCTGTCTTTTCTCTGCATCTTTCATCCCAAGTTTCAGCTTTCACAGCTGAACTTCTGCTGCTCCCTCTGCCATCTCCTCGGCACAAGCAACTTTCTTCTTTCTGTGCTTTCTAATGCAAACTCAGACTTCTGACCTTGAGTGGCCTGCAGTCTCAGTCACAGTAAAAAAAAAGAAAACAGAAAAGCAAAGGGAAAATGCTTTTTGATGGCGTTTTTGAATATCCAACCAGCGCAGACAGTTACAACCTTGCCCTTCTGTTGAGAATCTCAGACGTGGGAGTTTCGATTATCATGCGTGAAGCGTGACGAGCTGCTTACTCGTGTTACCTGTGATGTCTCATGCAGTTCTGCTATGATTTATTTATTGTCTCATGGATTATGGGAGGTCATCTCAGCTGCGCTGGAGTCACAGACTGTGTATTTTCATTCTCGGGGACAGTAATGAGCAGTTTTATTAATATTCTCTCTCTGAGCTTTGTTTGGTTAAAGCTGATGTTTCTGTCGTGCTGACTGAACCACGCAGGATTTCTGTGTCGTACCGTGTAAGAGGTGAAAAGTTTTAGTTTGTTCTGCTCAGGGACCCATCACCTCTTTTCCTATTATTGTGCTGCTGAATTAATCCCCATAGGCAATTTCTGTTCTTGCTGGCTTGTCAGTGGGAGTTAAAGGCTGAAATAATATAACACCTTAAGAATTAGCTGGTTTGAGAATTACTTCAACACATTTTTTCCTGCACATCTCTTAAAAAAAAAAAAAAAAAAAAAAAAAAAAGATGTTTCTTGGTGCATCAGGGACTCATTTCAGCTGGATTTTGCTGCTCTGTTGCAGGGTGTTTAAACTCTTTACCCCTTGAAAGTCGACTAAGAGGCTCTTTGTTATTTTTCAACTACTCTAATGATCATTAAACCAAGTATTAACTGAGATATACTGAGGTGTCAAAGCTAGTCTTTAAGGGTACAGAGCAGGTTGTCAGATGCCGACTGTATGGGGGGCAAGAGTTAAGAGGAGCTATTATAGTATATTCTAGTTTTGTTTTGTGTTTGATTCTTAACTCTGTATTATGTCAGTGATGTGGGATATACCTTAAGCTTTCTGTTTGCAAGAGCAGCCAATAAGAGGTAAACTTTTAGAGCAGAAAAAACAGGCACTTTTCTGTCATTTATTAATTATTTTGATGCATTATGATTAATTTATCATCAGAAAAAGCTTCAACACTTATGAAAATGGCAGGTAGCAAGTATCTGAAAGTATGCTTGCAAAACAGGCCGTTTCTTTATATAATGTACAACCTTTTCATAAATCCTGTTCACTGCAGTCTGTTTACCCATGAAAGCAAAGACGTGAAAAGAAAAAGTTACACCACAACCTCTACCTCTAGGTCTAAATCAGGCCTGAGGGTCATTAAAAGCAACAAATGAGACCAAATTGATACACAGATCGATGTTAATAACTGAAAACTGTTGTTTATATTAGAGAAAAAACAAACAAACGGTAGAGCTGACTCTCTGTGGCTGTTTGCAACCATTTAGTAACTTGTTGTTAAATCCTTCATTGCGATACTTTGATCTGTGCATCCTGGACCGGACCTCTGCTGCACATGAAGTTTTTCCTTTCATACCGAGATAACGTCGCCATTTCAGCCACAGAGATAACAGACTTCTGAAGCGCCTCAGAGTGGCTCGGTTTGCCGTTTTGTTTCCGTTTCATGGGATTTGTTGATTGAGGGGGGAGAAAAATGTGGATAATAACCCGATGAACGGCTGACAAATAAATTAGACGTGGATCTTTTAAAAGACACCCAGAAGAATGGCGCTCTCAGGTTTTAGTAGGGAGAAGGAGCGCCTTGTTCTAACTTCCTCACATCAATTTGCTTACATAAGCAGTGCAGACTATTACTTTTTATCACAGAGGTGAGAAGGTTATTTATGATAATGGTGCAAGAACAGAATGAACTTCCTTTTTTTCTCTCTATTTTTTTTTAAATAAGCGTCTCCGGGGAATGCAAGTGAAAGAAGAGGTGACAGGGAAAGAGATGAAGAGAAAGATACCCGGGAGAGGACGTGTCTGAGCAGCTCGTTAAACAGAGATAAGTACTTACATAACTAGTATAGAACATTCCATTCTGCATCAGGACGCAACGAGGAAAAGGGACAAAAAACAGAGAAAGACAAGAGAGGAGGAGGAGGGAGAGGAGGCAAGGTGATGAGATGGGAAAAAGTGGGGGGAAATGAGCGGGAGATGATGAAAGAGGGTGGCAAAACCGGTAGAGTGAGGTAAAGATGAGGAGAAAGTAAGGAGGAGGAGAAACGAGAGTGAAAGGTTAGAAGCACAGGAAACAAGCAGAAAATAATAAAAGAATGAGGGGTCGCGGTGCAAACGTGCAGATGTCAAAGGCAGGGCGAAGAAAACAGGACGAGAAGATGACAACGCAACAAAAAACAAAAAATAACAAGAGTCGTGATAAAGCAGAACACGAGCCAACGAGGGAAGGAAGACGAGTGGATGACGGTGCAAAACGAGCGGACGAGGAGGATGAGCGGGACAGGAAGGAGAGATTAGAGGGAATGACAGCAGAGGTGAAGCGGACAGCGAGGGAAGAAAGGAAGAAAGGGAAAGATCAACAGGAGGAGAAAATGAGAGAAAGAGGGGAAGCGGAGGGTTAGTGACAGTTTGTCCACGTCAGCCAGAAACTGCAGTCAAGAGATCAGGATGACAATCAGGAGCTGCCAGGATCAGCAAACGCACACAAATAACCACACACACACACACACACACACACACACACACACAGACACACACACACACACGCACGCACACACACACACACACACACACAGAGGCAGGCAGCTATAAAATGTACCGAGCTGATACAACAAAGACACCGCACAGACATGCACAGATATTTTCACAGCGCTCGGTGTGAGAAGTGCCACAGTTTTAGATTAGATGCATGTCCTACAAAGTGTTTGCAAGTTCCAGTCAGCTCGGCATCACGCTGTATGTTTGTGAGAAGCCAACCTAAATATTTAAACTGATTTTGTCTCCAGCACTGGCAGAAACATGAAAGGAGGCCAAATTATTACACTGACATTTTGGGAACTTTCGGGCACAGAGTGAAATGAGAAGATGCTACATGCCCTCGCAGTAAGGACGTGGATGTGTTGGATCTGGAAAGAGCCCCTGTGGCTGCACGACCCCACCCTGTTCGTCAGCGCAGATCAAATGTGAACATCTTACTGCACAAGGAGATTACTGATTGGTTTGCTTCCAGACTCATGCTACGTAGAAAGGCAGGATAAGTTTTGGTTGGATCTTGTTTTCAGAAGTTGTCAATACATTTCATCAGGTTTTGTCGCCCTGCATTAGATTTTATTTAGCCGTCGTCTCGTTTATGTCAGGGGAAAAAAACTGAAAACGATGACGGGAATTACTGGTCAACGAAATTGATTAGTTTCTGCTGGTTTGATTTGTGTAACATGGGATGTTGGGCTGCCACAGCCGGGTTGAAGACATGAGTGTACGGTGACATCTGGCGATGATGTCAGTGGCGGTGGTCAAAGTCACCAATACGGTGGATGCAAAGTGTCCTAAAGCGTGATTTTAACTTTTGCAGGAAATCTACATCCTAACTTAACGAATTAACCAGAAACAACTCTTTCCCCCACAAAGCAACCTTCCACGCCAATCAAGTCTTGTGGTATGCGTTGACCCGACGTGTAGTTACATTTATGTAGAAGGATGTGGTGCAGAGGTAAAATGGGTTTCCGGAGGTGTAACTTTGAGGTCTGACAATTTAAGCTTAAACCAGCATCTCTGAGATTGGTCAGCAGGGGGCGACTACTCAGGTTGCCAGAAGTTATTCAGTTCTATGTAAATCTAAATGAAAACTACCGCTGTGTCTAACTGCTTTATTACCTCAGTAAACACTTTCTGTCTAGGTTTCTGGTCTCAGCTGTTTGTCTCAAGTCTTCCTGTTAAAAGGGAGTTTTTCCTTCCCACTGTGGCATCTTCTCATTGACCAACCGCATTTCCCAAAATGCCGTGCATCAAACAACAATAAAGGGTCTTTTCCATGAATTTTTTTTCATGACTTTAACAATAACTCTGGTTTATCACAACTCAAGTCTCATTTTCGTAGCTTGGGGCATCATTTATGAAAGCTGGCAGCAATTAAAGTCATTGAGGATAAGAAACATGATGAGACCGGATATTAAAGCAACAGATTTGTAAGATTATCAAAGACAATTAATAACTCGCTGTGGGGGATATTTTGTTGGCACGCTTTGGGCCCCTTAGGTAGGCAGATGCTCTGATCGTAGTGAGTATTGTTGCTGTCCACGTCCATCCCCTTATGATCACAGTGTACCATCTTCTGATGGCTGCTTCCAGCAGGATAACAAACCACGTCTCAAATCATCATCTCAAACTGATTCCTTGACTCCACAGTCACCAGATCTCAACTCAGGAGAGCCCCTTTGAGACGTGGCAGAATGGAAGATCAACATCATGGATATTTAGATAACATTTTACTGAATTAAGCAACTCTGAAGGGAAAAGTAACTCAGAACTAGCAAGACCTAACAAAGTAACCAGTGAGCTTTACTTTCATTTTGTTTTTTGCTTTCTTTTCCAAACTTGCAGCTTTGTTTCCCTCCAGTCTACCCAACTGGGTCCAGTTTGTAGCTGTTGTGGACATCTTGTGACGTTGTTCTCAAAATCTGAGCTAGTTAACTTGGTTAATCTAAAGTAAAGCACTAAACAGGAATGATGCCAAAAATGCCAAATGAGAAGATAAGATTTGTTTTTGTGATAAACCAAAATCATCCAAGACTTCCAGGACTTACAGACACCTCGATGGACGCCTTTGGGCAAAATGTTGAGGTTGCACAATTCTTTATAGCAGCTGGGTATTTGTGCATGTGTTGGTCTCCTTACCACATGTGGTACAGGCATGGGCTGTGGGGCCATGGGTGCTGGGCTCCACTGTGTGGTCGACATGGTCTTATTTTGCCAGTTCTGGCCGCCCGTCAGCTTCTTCTCTCCCGGTTGGTTCCACTGCATATCTGGCCTGTGGAGGTCAAACGGATTCAGCTGTTTAATCTCAGGTTTAGTTATCACATAATTTGCTATTTACGTTTTTCAAATCTTTAAAGTCTAATTCAATAGGCCACAGATGTGTGTGCATATTAAGCAGTTCATAATAAATTTGCTTTCTGAGATTTGTGCTGACAGTTTCCTGACCAAGAACAGCTTAAAAGCGTATATTTGCTTTTGCAGAGACTACAGGCACAATTCAGGAAAGGCACCATCACGACTCAGCAAAACTTACTTTTTGGCTGGGGTCCCACCAAACTGCAGATCTGTGGAGAGTTGGAAACACAGAAAGTGAGTGATCGCAGTTAAGAGAGTACAATGAAAAGGGAGGCAGGAAGGAATTTCAGCCTCAGATGCTGTTTTTTTCCCCTCATGAAAAGAGGTTCAAGTTTCCACAAAGAAATAACAAATTCCAACCAAACACATGAAGTTAAAGAGGAATATGCAGGCTCACTTCTATGTACAAGCAACAGTAAACTTTAATATGTCCTTAAGAGTCTGAGAGTACACTGCAGGCACGTATTCAAGGCCAGGCATTGCATGTGCCACGTTATGTAACTGAGTTTTTCTCTCGTCTTTGCTGGTCTATTCACATGAATCTCAACACTCACTGCCCACGAGGTTGGCCAGAGACGAGTCGAGGTCGTTGGCTAGCAGCTTTCCTCCAGGATGGATGGCCACTTGAGGGGGAGGTGGAGGAGGTACGGTGTGTGTGGGAACTGTAGGCTTTAACAGGTCTCCGAGAGCATCAAAACCTGAAGAAGAAATCAAGGTAAACAAGCGAGTGAGATGGGTGTGCAGAAAAACTGCATTTTTAATAGGAATGGCTGCTAATAACGGCATACAGGCAGGCAGAAAGACTGAGCAAAAAGCAAGATCAAGCACTTCATATTTAATTTAACCGAGTGGCAGACTTGACCGCTGATGAACCTTTTCCCTCAACAGCAACTGTTCAGTTACAGATTAGAAAACTGTAACTAGGCACAGAAGGCCTGTCAAGCTTTGGATTTCTCCATATGCCAAGTCAATAAAGAGACAAGGAGCAAAAGGCTACATATATATCACTCTGTTTGCCTGCTGTAATGTGAGCTGCACAGCTCAGCTACAGTAGTAATCAACATTTTACTAGCCAAATTGCATTTCGTAGGGTTACTGTATCAAGAATATGGTGTAGCCTTTTTGTAATCAAACTAAGTCGTTCATGGTAGCTTACTTGTCTTAAATGCTAATTAGATTGCAGTTACAGATGTGAAAAAGAAAGTTTTCCCAGGACTGAATATACCCTGTGATTCAGCAGCTTGTAGAACTGCCTTTATCAGCAATAACATGAAGAAATCATTTTCTGTGTGGCTTTGAGTCTCTCACATCAGTGTGGAGGACTTTTAGTCCGCTCTTCTTTACAGCGTTGATTCAGTTTGCAGAATGTCTGCCAGACAGGTGGCCTCACATTTGACTCTAGAACACTTTGGCATACAGAGGAGTCCATGTTCGACTCAGTGACTACAAGGTGCTCATGTCATGTGGCTGCAAAAAGCCCCTCTCATCACCCCTCCTCTATCCTGCCCGACAGTTGGTATGAGGTGCTTGTGCTGATATGCTGTTGGGATTTTTCAGACATGGTGCTGCGCAGCAAAACATCTCCACTTTGGTCTCATCAGTTCAAAGGACATTCCAGAAGTCTTGTGGTTTCTGATTTACAAACTGTGATTTTTAGAGAGAAAAATCACAGTTAGGCCTCCGTTCCAAACAAGCAATACTTCTTCAGTCTTTTTCTGATCATGCTGTCCTGAACTTGTTAACTGAGGTCAGCAGAGTCTGAGATGTAGTTCCTTTTTTGCAGTTCCTCTGAGCATTGTTTTACTTTGGGTTGCCAAAAATACCATGTTTACTTAACCCGAACAGACAAACTAGCTTCTTTAATAGCAGACGTCTGCTTAAACTTGTCCACCTATATCACAAAATGACTGCATTTCCATTGAAATCTGCAGCTGTTCTCACTGTGAGCTGTATTATGCTCCAACCCAACAACAAAAAGTTCGACAGGCAGAATTTACCAACTTACTAAAGGAGACGGGGGACTATCAATGGTAAGGCTGAAAAAAGAAAAACAACATCTAAAAGTTAATGAGTGAAGTTCACGCTGGAGGACAAGACAAGAAAGTTTGGGAACAAACGTTATAAAGTTTCTGTATCAGTGAGAAGACATTTAATCCTGACTCTAATGAGAGCAGGCTCTTGCTTTCAACCTAATTTTTCCTACTCTTTAAATACATCAACTTATGGCTCGACCACTTTAATGAAGCCGAGCTGGACAGTTTTGATCTGAGAATATTGCTGAGTTGGGCCTCCTTAATATGAACCTCAATCTCACTGCTAGCCTCTCTGTTAATTGAATTCTTTCCGACCTATTTTTAGCATTTACCCACACGGGGAAAAAAGCAGATAGTTTAAATCAGATATCCTCGACCTAAACCGCTCTTTTTTTCTTTGCCATGTAGCAGCTTCAGTAGTGAGCCTTTAATCCCTGACTCGGTAGCTTGCAGCAGTTGTTCCAGATGATTGATTTATCTGTTTGTAGTCGTCATGTACACACGGTGACTGAACAGTGATTAGTTTGGAACATGTGCGTGTGCTTCTGTGTGGGAAAGTTAACCGAGTTTGTCTCTGATAGGTGGAAATGACAGGGTAATTTCCTGCACTGGTGTGGAAGTGTGTGCGTCTAAGTGGCTGCGTTAACAGCTTCTCATGTCAGCACTCATTCAGCTAATGGCTTAGCACAGGTCTGATGGTGGGAACCTGGAGATGTGATGGTGCATATTCAGAGGAGGAAAAGGTCAGCATGGCTAAAACTATTAAAAAAATATCTTTCATTGAAAGATGGAGAGATGAAGGCAGGAGAACAGCAACAAAAATTAAAACAAGAATGAGGACAAACGATTGCTCTGCTGCTAAGGAGAAAGGATGAAAGTAAGGCAACTGATGGTGGAGAGGGGAAAAAACGGAGGAATAATATTTAGTTAGGAAGCGGTGTGTGGGTCTGACAGTGGTGCTGACACAAGAGATTCAGAAAGCACTCTTCCTGCTAGCTTAGCAGATGAGAGAGAAAAAGGGAGAGGATGGAAAATATACCGAGACAGAAAGAGGACTGGAAGTAGAGAGAAGAACGGGAATTGAGACAGAAGGGAGATCGAGAAATGAACCTAGTTTTAAACACTGATTTCCCTCCTGTGATAAAACGCTTTGTCAACACAGGTGAGTTTATATTTCTTTATTTCTGAAATCGTCACATCAGTAAAGCACCACTGACTTAAACTGAACCAAGAAGCGACAGATGAACGGAACAAGCTTCCTCAGTAGATCACACAACACTGCAGGGCAGCAAAAAGAAGAAGAAGAAAGCAGGGATGGAGGGAGATAAGTAAGCGGTGTGTGTCGTATTGAACTGAGGAGATAATGATATCTGTGTTAGGTGTTTCAGCGATGGATTTGACAGTCAATAGAGTTTAAGATCAAAGGGAAAGAAGAAAGTAAATCCATATCGAGGATTCAAAACACCAGCGCTGACTGCTCAGAGATCTGAAAAGAAGTTTTAAAAACGTTGCGTTTCTTTCAGAAATGAAGTACCCACCATCGCTGGCTTCATCATACCTAAATGTCCCCAAGGGTGGTATTAACATATGATGGGGGATCTTTACAAAAAAGAGCTTTAGGAGCTGCTGTGTGACAGGCAGATACGGAGGAAGAGGCTTCAGTGGTTTCAAGACAGTGAAGGTTCTAGCTTGTTTCTTATCTACAGACTGATGACTTTTTTGTTGCTATGAGTCCTACCAGCTCCATCAAACTGACTGATGCTAACAGAAACTCTCTTGTTCCCTCATAACCCTGCAAGAGTGGCCTTAAGTAGCTGTCGCTTCATTCCCAGGAGCGGACTCCTAATCAGCCCTTTCCAGCATCTCAGGTTTCTGTTGAGGATTGGGGTCCATCGGACTCGGGTGGCGATTGTTTAGTCGATAACAGGGACAGTTTTACAGTTCAGTTACAATAATATAGGCTGTGTATAGCTGTATGTGAGACCAAAACAACAGCAACAGTTGAGTGAAACCTGCTGTTCTTTGTCTTTCTTCTAAGCAAACCAGTCTTCCAAACCGTATTTATCCCAGATTTGGGAAAATCTTCTGTTATAAAAGGTAATTCTGATCTGAGGTTGAAGTTGATTCTGGGTGGTGCTGGACTGGATCAGGCCCACGGAGTCTAAAAGCTTAAGAACCAAGTAAATGGCTGATAGGCTTCAGTCTAGACTGCTCAGGAACCTCCTGGTAACCACAGGTTGCTAGGGGTAAAAAAAAAGAAGAAGAAAAAAAAAAAGGGTCAGGAGACCAGTGGGCAGCCCACTAGCCAGGGAAAAGTACGTATTCCACCAACTGGTTGATGAGTGGTTGCTGGCAGTGATACCACATAAAAGGGTGCTACGCCAAAAACCTTGCTGTGATTTGTTTGGTATCCAGTGGGTTGTCATAGGGTTATGTGACACCTTCTGATAGACACCGACTTGCCCGCAAACACTCGCTGACCACCCACCAAACTTGGAAAATGTTCCACGAGTCCTCAAACCCTCACTCGCCGCCTGCAGAGCGGGGGGTACGTTTTCAAAAGCACAACACAAAAGTCAGCACGCAGGTCGGCATCTTCCATGAAAATGACTGTAATTTACTGGTGATCAAAAGAAGTGATGAGGAAGTTTCTACTGCAGCACCTTCTTTGTGACCAATTTCACCCAGAAACAAGCAGCAGCCAGCGGGTTAGGGAATACTTTTGTCCCTTTTATTATCAAATCAAGTGATTTTCTTTTTTTAATAAAGTTTCGCTTTTGCTCCTCATAACAGATAAAAACTAATGTGCTGTTTAATGGAGCCAAGGCCCAAACACAAAGGCCTGGACACTGGATGGCACAGCCTCCTTGTCCAAGCACCAGCACAAAGCTCTGTACATTTGAAATGTGAAACAATTACACAACGATTTCACCTGAATTTAATCTACAGCACCTATAAATGCATTACGTTTGGTCAAAAACACCAAGTTTAACATCATATTTGATATATTCATCTATATTTCAGTGTGTATGTAAACACACAGTAAGGATTACTTTTCTCACCCAGTACATCAACATTAACAAACCCTGCTGCCACACACCACACTGTTCTCCCTGGTGAAAAGCCCTGAATCAGGTCACAAACAGCGACTTCTTCCTGCAAAGAGTCCCTCTTATTAACTTGATACATATAGTATGTTATATCATGCCAACAGACTGCAGCTAAAGCTAACACATCCCCATTTTAAAACATCTGAATCCTGATGACTAAATGATCATAAATCAGTTTTACGATCAGGAAACTCAATAATATCAGACCACTCTATTCTGCGGTTCCAACATAACCCTATTAACCCATCCTTTATGCAGGTAATAACTGAAGATACACAGTCCTCTTAGGAAGTACAAGATGTGCATTTAATCTCCGTCCAAGTGTTTCATCTGGTTCTGCCGCAGCTTCCACGCTGATGTGACAAAACTCAATTCAGACTTGTCCCGCCTGAGAAGGAAGATTATCATCACGAGTTTACACAAAGCGACTAACAAACGTCAGGCCTTTCTAAGAGTGTGACTTCTTCACTGACGACTTGTGCAAGTCTTTATGAGCTTGTTAATAACAGAAAGCTGCACTGACAAAACCAGATAAGATCATAAACAGAGGAATGCAGCAGAATTAAGGCAGAACTATACCTTTATTTCTTCTCACATATATGTGGCTGCTAATGTTAAACAGAGTTTAGAATAACGAGGTCAGTTCAAACTGTTTTTTTTTCTTTATGACATCAGTCAGAGGCTAACATCCCTGACGGCACACAGCTCTCTCCCACTGCCTCCCAACTTCCAAGGGAGAGCTTCCCATATACAGAGAATGCACTGAGGGGCTGCACCAAGGCCATTGTGAGATACTATAAGGATTATTTTCAAGTGTGAAGCACAGCAGTAAGCATGCATTACAAGTCTGCTTTAAATAACACGGACACACAGACACAGCAGTAGCAGGCAGAGCACCTTCATTAGAATAACCAGCAGAAATTGTTTGTTGTCCTTCAGAAAACTCAAATCTTGAAAAGATCACTAGAGGTCAAATACAGCTTAAGAGTGGCCAAAATTCAGGCAAAGTATTAATTATTAATTAATTAAGAAGGGAGGAAAAACAGACAGGAAGAGGAGGAGGAGGAGAGCAGATGGAAAGGAGTTGCCTGGGTGATTTTTGCCTTGTGAAGTGTGATGGGGAGACGATGAGGCAAAGACAGGGAGAGGGAGGGAGAGGAAATACAGGGAGGAGTAGGAAGGTGGGGATGGTGTGAACCACAACAACAAACAACAGACGAGCAGAAGCAGACAGATGGGATGGAGTAAAATGACAGAAGACGTGTGAGCACAGACTCACAAACACATGTGAGCACGCATAGAAATACACAGATAATGCATGAGCACACACATACACACAGGGGGATTTTACATGCGATGCTGCCAGTGGCCCAGATGGTGTATTGGTAGTTGTAGTGGCAGCCTCGACACAGGCCCTATTAATAGAAAGAGTCGCTCCGTCCAGAGCCAGGAACAAGCTGCACGCCTCCAACTGTTAAATCTGAGCAGAGGAGACTGACGGGGTTAGACGAGATTAGAGCGAGCAGCTCCCGAGCAAAGTCACAACTCAGGTCCTTTGGAGTGAAACGGCTTTAAGAGTGTCTGACGAGGCAGCGCTACAGCTGTGCAAATACAGCTAATCCTCCGGATAACAATGATAACGTGACAACATTTCACCCAGGTGACTTCAGGATATTCTTTCCTCGAGATTACGACGAGCGATCTGTGTGACAAATGTGCTATGATCAAGTCGTCCCGACAACGAGTGTGAACTGCGCGTGGAGCGAATGCTGCTCCGAAACAGCTGGACGATAAATCCCGATGAGGCTGATTGATGGACGCCAGCACAGTGAAAATGGCTGGCACCATGAAACACCTTTCAGTAAATTTCCTCAAGTGTGAAATAAAAGCACCCAAAAAAACCCCTTTAATTAATTTAAAACAAACCCAACAAAGTCACAGCACACTTCCTCCGTGCTGCTGCAGTTAAACCTGCACTTCTTTCTGAACTTCCCTCTCCCTTTATGATGAAAATAGTCTTTAGATGACCTCTGCAGGTAGTCGCTCTTATCTGCTGTACCTTCTCTGGAGTGGTCGATAACTCGGTGTGCCTTAAAATTATATGCTTTGCAGGAGTGCCTCGGGACTCTAAAGGGTTGAGAAGCGCTGGAATTGATTGTGTCAGTTGCTGAGAGGTTAAAGGAAAGTAAGCTAATAAGAGGGCTCAGAGCCAAAAGGCTCAGACCTGCAACACTTAAGAGCCAGTCAGAGTCAGTCCAAAGCTGTTACCATAACAGGGAGGACACAGCAGCAGCAGGCGAGGAGGCTGAAGGATGGCCTCCTACACATCATGACTCCTCTATTCAACAATATTCTTTACAGTGTATTCATAGATTCAGCTCTGTTCACTCTGTCAGAATCATCTCACTACTAACAATGATAACAGAAGTTAACTACGGTATTTAGCAGTTTTCTTCCAGCTTGGTAAGATCTGTTTGAATGCTCAAATTTAAAAGATTGCACATTAAAGAAACCCAGTAATGCCTCAATCACACTGGAGGAAAAACAGGATGACAACCTCTGACTAGAAAAACATCTATGGGGTTGCCCGATTGTGGTGACCAACTAATTTAGTGTGTACCACCCTCTCTGGGGTCAGACGACGATAAACTGGTGGACGGCAACTTGTCTCCAAACTCACACCAGCTCCAGTCACTCTCACGTGGATTTGGAAAGGTCTGCAAATAATTACCGTCTAATTTATGAACGACTGTCAGAGCACTGCAATCAATATGAGTCAGTCTGATGAGTGTAACCTATCTCTCTGAAATAAATGACTTGGCTTAACCGGTTGTATTCTGGTTATATTCTGATTTAGAAGCAATGTTACCCATGTCACGTTGCAGCTACATTGCTGCCCTGCAGCAACTATCTGTGGAGGAGTTTTAGATGTATGAGGTTCTGCCTGGACTCTGAGTGCAAGCAGGTAATGTGAACGTCCGTGTATCAAAGTAAATCAGCGATCTTTGCCATTTTATCACAAACAGATTCCATGTAAATACTAACTTAACCAACTGAGTTTAACTGCAGACTAATTCCATCTCAATGCAGCTTTGTCTACATCTTGATCCAACAAAGTCTCTTTGAGGACAGCAGCTGACTGTGAGTGGTCACAGACTTGGTCCCTGCTTTCGAGCAACCATTTCAGAGTCTGCAAGTTCATTGCATACGTTTGTGCCGTGGTCTGCAACCACTGCTTTTAAAATCAGCCTCATAGACACACATTAACAGTCTTAAAAGGTGCTAGATGTATATGAATTTTATTTTGAAAGATCATCAAGTAGCTATGGCTGTGACTTTTACTGTTCTGCTACCTACACACTGTCTAGGTCACGCTCAGATCCTGGATATAATATGTACCAGTTATAACAATGCACCTTTAAACAATAAAAAATACTGGAAGCATTTGTTTCTGAAGTCATCTTCGGGTTTGAAGTGTTACAAAAGGTCTATGTGACAGAGCGAGCAAGCTGCACACACCCACTCAGTCGCAAGAAACAAGTCAGAAGGTTAGTAAAGTGTTAAGCTTTTGTTCCCAGCAAAGCCAAAAGTTATATAATAAAAAGATGGAAAAGGTTTAGTTCAGTCTGGCTCTGCCCGGACAGTCAGGCAGAGGAGGCTTTACCGGCTGCAGGCTGCGGGCCGTTGTTACTGGGTGTGGCCTTATTCCCAAACACAGCATCGAAATCTACGGTCATGGCGGGGCCGCTCTGCTGCAGAGGTTGGCTGTCCAGTCCTGAGGAATGCAATTAAATATGACTGATTAAAGCACCGTTTGTGCTATTTAGGCTGCGCGAGATAGCAGCTGGAGACGCTTTATCGGGCACACTTTTACAAAGGAAACAGCTGTACATACATCCATCCATCAGACAGGCCCAAAGTCACAGCTTTGCTTTAAGTAAGGATTCCAGCACCTCCTGCTTAACTAATCCCATTAGATTAGGAGCACGGACGCTACAGTCCCCAGTGTACTGCTATTGTTGTTGCTCGATGACTCGGGATTCTGCGCAGGCTGTCGGGGACGTCAGCCTTTCATGGGAGAGTTAAGCCAGTGCACGAGGAAATCCACTGACGCACCTTTTTGTCTTTCCGCATCCCCGACTGGGATTAGGAGCTCGAAGCCTCGGGGGAACGGGCGTCTTTGTGGGATCCACAAAAAGAGTATACGCCCCAAAAACGTCACCATAAAGCACAGATATGCAATTATCTGCATGTAAAATGTTGCTCTTACAACATTCAGAAAAAGTGACGTCTTAACAACTAGCATGCTGCTATTTGTGCACCTGTAATTGGCAATTCTGTCACGGCACAAGTTTCCCTGACTAAAACTTTGCGTGTATGTAAAGGAAGACTCTGCCATTTTGGATATAAGCTCATTAATTTCCCAGAGATGCTCCGAGCTGACATCTATACTGTATGAGACACTGGTTTGGTGCTGGCTCAGAAAGCTCATCATTGGGGCCAATCTATTCAGCTATATTACACGTTGTGCTGTCCTTTGATACCATGTTTCTGCAGCAGTGCACCAGCTTTTAAGTCCGTTTTTGTTGTTGTTTGTTTGGCTTTTCGCTTTACCAAAAAAATATGTTGACACCCACTGAAAAGCTCCAACAAAAGCACTTTCTTTCTCTTTCTCATTATGTTTGGTTTTACACTTACTGGGAAGCTTTTAGTGCATCTACAGCAGGGAGAAGGAGCCGTCTTCTACCTGATTGCTATCATCTTCACTTCACCCGTCTCTTGTGTGAGGTGGTGTACTCACAGTAAAACAGAGCAGAGAAAAAACACTAGTGCAATCATGAAAGACTCAAACTGAGCTTGAATGAACCAAAATGGTAATAAATGAAGTGAATACCATTTCTTTTTTGGTACGGTGGTAAAAGTGTGAGTGAGAAAAATCCCTAAAAAGGATCATTCCAGCTGAAAAAGTGGGACAAGTCAGTGCATCCCTTTAATGGGAACGTTACAACTCGTGGTCTCAGCTAGCCACACATTCTCTGTAAAGTTTTCCCCAGCACAACGGGAAGCATATTTCCCTCAAATATTAAAGTACTCTTTTAAAATACATCCTCCGTCTATTGCCCGACTGAAAACCCGATCAGTATCTCGTAATCTTACATCCTCTGACATTTCCTGAAGCAAGTAAGCTTTGTGGTATTTCTGAGAAAAGTACGGGGGACATTTATCTGAGCTTCTGGGTCAGAGTCCCTGATAATGCGAAAGGCTCACATCTGAAGTGAGGAAGTCGCTCTGACTGTAACGTGGCCAAACTCTGCATAATCCTTTATCATAAAGCCTTAAATACGCCGCACTAGCCCAGCTTACAGACGCATCTTTGCGCTACATTTTGATCCGAAGCGGCCGATTGCACCCGCTGAAATGTCGACCTTCTTGGTTTTTTTCCCCTCCACACAAATTTGTTGGGGTGCAGTTTGTTCTCAGCTTTTCAGCCTCAAACAAACAAACAACAAGGAGACGCTGTGCGAGTCTCACTTCTGTACTGAGCAGCAGAGATTGGAACGCAACACAAGACGCCGACTGGGTCACGCAACATTAGCCCCTGAAGAAAACACGATGACGGTGGTGGATGGATGGTTTCCATGACGAATGGTCAGATAGATGGATGGACACAGGTGCTCGAGTGGCAGCCAGAGGGGATATTACAGAAATAAATTAACTTGTGTAAGTCTGATTATACGCATGTCTGCGTCCCTGCTGGTGCATTTATTTTTTTATATATATAAATATATATAAAAATAAATGAAAACGTGTATGTATGCAGGTAACGTACCTCCCCAGGCACTATTGGCGTTGGAGATGGAAGGAGTGCTCTGCACAGCAGGGATGAAGGCCGGCTGAAGATCAAACAGGTCACTGTTCAGATTGGGCACACTGAGGAGAGAAAAGCAGAGAGGAAAGCCACAGAAGAGGCGAGCAGAAAAAAAAAAAGAAGAAAAAGAGGGTGAAAGAAATGAGGATGAGTCGAGAGGGAGGAGGGGGAGAAAAAAGGGGAACAGGAATCGAGTAAGTCAGCGAGAGAACAGAGAGATACGGAAAGACAGATGGAGACGCAGCATTAATATTTAATCAATTGAGCATAAATAGCTAAAGCCACCACTAAAAATGTTCGTTTGTCACAGATAAAGATTAATCCTCCCGCTCTGAAGGGCTGTAAAAACTTCCAGAGAGCAATAAAGCAGTTAGGAGCAGTAAATTCAGAGCGTGCACACTGGGCCTAAATTCTGTTCTGATTATCAAGAATAAATAGTCTTACTTTACCTCCGCTACAGCCGGAGATGAGATACGAGAAGGATGTGTTGTGTTAGATAAGCATTTTTTTTAAAAAATGCACGCTGACAGAAAACAAATATATATTTTTAATCTCTGTTGCACAACAAGAGGAGGTTTGTTACTGTCTTTAAAAAGTTCATTAACATCTTGAAACTTCAGCTGAAAATCTGTATTATAATATAAAGCACCTCCTGTTGAGTTCAAATGGCTGGGCACCAGCACCTAAAACCCACTGCAGCCCTAATATTTCACCCACCGGAGCTGTGAGTAAGAATGTAAATGTCATCATGTCTCCAGAGCAAAGTCTGCGTGATGTTGAATTTCGGGCATGTGAGAACAGTTTAGCTAATTAAGTCTGTCATGTGTCCTGCCTCCTGGCAGCTTCCTTAAGTGTTTCCAGTAGTGAGAACTTGTCTGCAGTGGACTATCTCCTGTAGTAAGAACGTAACAAGGACGATGTCCTGACCGATTCTCCTCATACTGCACCAAGTTCACGAGTGACAGCGTAATGTAGGGTTAGATCACAACATTAGATCTTCACAGCATCACCATCATTCAAATGCATCTTTTTAAGTTTTCTATCAGCTCCTCTTTAACAGTGGTTATCGTCTGTCTGCACACTGCTGACTTCCTATACGGGCTCTGCACTCATACAAACTAAAGAACAGATTTAGTAATGCGTCACGCCAGTGCAAACTGGGTTTAAATGACAAGACTGTATGTAAGAGGCGGGAACTCAACAGTGCTCCCACTGATTTTCACCTAGGATGCCAGGATAAAAATCACGTCAGTCACATGATCACCCTCAAATCAAAGCCAATATGTTTCATGGACTTGACAGAAAACGAATCACTAACTCATTTGTTGCTTGTGCATCACATCCAGATGACAGTCTGAAAAGTAGGGGTGGGTTTTGATAATCGATTTATCGATTAAAATCGATTCTGGCTTGGATAACGTGATATCGATTCATTAAAATCCTGAATCGATTTTTTAATATAAATTTATTTTGCCCGAAATGCCAGATTCTCAGTTTCGACAACCACCAAACAGCTAAAACAGTAAATGAGAGCAGGCACACGGATTCTGCACAAAGACGCAAACACAAAGCGCGGACCCGCGGATCAGAATCAGTGAGATGTCGCCTTTCTCACCCGACGGCACGGACACGGTCGGGGCTGAAAGCCGACAGCTCGCTGATTCTGATGTTTCGGCGGGTCCAAGCTTTGTGTTTACGCCCTTTTTTGCGCTGATTCTAGAGCTGTTAGTTTGATCTCTCTCCAAACAATACTGACTGAACCAGCAGCAAAAGAAGATCCAAACTACGCTTCACATAAACATCGTACACTTCATGCACAGCTCTCTCTCTCTCTCTCTCTCTGTGTACTTCATGAACAGTTTCCCGTCTGGAAATCTGTTTTCTGCAATATTCGCTTGCTTGTTACGCACAAGTCTGTTATTTACAGCGCTGTCGGCCGCTGTTTTTTTCCCTTTTACTTACTTCCGAAAAGAAAACCTAATTTCTGCCGTTCAATACTGAACAAATGTAAACTTTTTAAAATGATGCAAAATGCAAAACGCTTAGTCGTGTCTCTAATAAAACCGCTGTAACTTCAGAGGTAACATTCATATGTTGATTAATGGTTTTCTTTTGTTTTTGATGAACTGCAGAATATTTTTATAAAACCCAGGCCAGGAAAATCACCTTCATGTTGTTCTGTGTTTTATCTTCAGCTACTTTGACACAAAGGTATCTGCTGTGACGCTCACACCTTTGATAAAGTCTGGAAAGTGTCAGCTTCCTTTTTATAGATACAAAAATATGTAAATGTACTGATCTGAATTATAATATTTCTGACTGTCTGAGGCAAAATTTCCCAGATTCAAATCGAATTGAATCGAATCGATTCTAGACATCAGTGACGATACCCAGCCGTACTGAAAAGTAGCTGCCTACTAACACAGGAGGAAACAATGTAACTGAACGGACCAATCACAAGTGTTGCAGACTGTGCTGATGTAACGTGGAGTTACATTTCTCCGGGTGAACGTCAGGCTGTAGCGTAAGGTTTTAGATGAGTTACAAAGTAACTCCTGTCTACGTCTAACACAGTGCATTGGTGTTAGAGCTACACTGTAGCTGGTCAGTGGTGCTGTATCAGTTACCATATTACCAAGTGGGTTTCATTTAAGAACTCTATGTGCTGCTCTTGTCTCAAAACCTGCTGCTTGCAGCATGAAGTCAGATCTCTGCTGCACACAGGACGGTGGTAAAATGCAAATTCCTCACCGACCTGTTCAGTAACGTGCACACCTGTGCTCGTTACTGAACATCTTTACAAAGCGCTGCATATTTAAGCTAATGGCTCCTTTTCAGTGTGATGAGTATGACTGTGTGCGGGAGGTGTTTGGCTGTGCAGCGTGCTCACCTGTTGGTGGACAGCGTGGAGCTGAAAAACTCCGGGGTCTGCGTGACGTGGTTGTTGTTGTTGGCGCTGCCTATCGACTGGCTGCTGGGGGAGGCAGAGGGTGGAGTCTGCATGCTGATCTCCTTCAGGCGCTGGTCCTGGAAGGAGAACACACAGCCGGGAGTGTGAAAAACAGCACAATGTGACCAGGAAGGCAACACTTAAACAGCCATTTCCCACAGAAATAAACAAGAGGCTCTTTTCCAACAAGCTCCGATCCGGGGGAAGTGACACACTGTGCACTTGAAGAAAAATACACATTTCCACAGAGGAAAGTACCACCCTAAACCTCCGCAGTTATATAGCTTTGTGTTGCTGTTTTTGATTCAGGCATCTAATCTCACAAATGAATGACGTGACGCAAGGATGAGCAAGAGAAAATACACAGGAGAAAGTACGCTTTGGGGATCTACAGAGTCACTTCTTGGCTTTAAAAGCCAGGCCAAATGAATTCCCAGCCTCAGATTATTGTGCAGTTTCGCCTGCCAAGGCTGCCGTGTTGTTTTTGATTCAGCGCACACAACAATACAATGACAGGCTATTAGTGTAAAGTACTTTAAAACTAATTGTTTCCAGCAAATTCTTTTTTGTTGCGATGCTAAAAAGTCCGGCAGCGCTTGACCCCGAGACTCAGGTGCTGCTGAAACGCTGAATGCGGATCTCTCTGGTGACAGAAACACCGACATCAGCAGAGTCCAACCAAACTGGAGAAAACAATAACAGGTTTAGAATTTTGTGCCTTTTCCGCTGATTCGGGAAGATGAATTCAAACGCATGTGAAGCCTGAGCTGCGCACGCCTTTACATTTAGCTGAAACAGGAGTAAAAAAGCCTGCCGTCAGGTTATGAAACACATCTGGATAATGCAGTTTTAAATAATTTATTCATCAAATCATCATCAAAGCACTCTGAAGGTGTTCCTGCAGCTCTAGAGACTCTTAACTCTTGCATTAATATAAAGATTTTGCATCAGGATCAGCTCGACGGAAGACGTCCAACTGTCAAGCAACTCTGTTCTCAGTCATCTGTGTTAAAATTTAAAACACATGATAATAAAAATAACTAATATCGGTTTCTCCATGCGAGTCACAGAAGACGCTGAAGCTTCGAGTGCCGTTTTCAGCGACCACATCGCTCGCTTTTGTCATTCTCGCTGTTGTTATTGCCTGTTTCTCGTCTCACACTCGTGTCCTTCCCCTGATTCGCTGTGGCAATGAACTCATTTCTCCACAGGGATCGATGCACATATGTCCATATACTTTATTGATAGTGCGTGTTTAAAGAAAAAAGAAAAAGGAAAAAGAAAGGAAACAACAGCTCTGACCAAAGTGCTGCCAGTTAAAAGAAAGCAATAAATAGAATGAATAGAATAGCCCTTTATTGTCATTGTACATGTACAATGAAACTGTGGGTGCTCAACACCAACTGTGCAGGAAGAAATATAAATAGTAGACAGCAGGAGAAATACATACAAAAATAAGAGAAAGGCACACGTTAGAGAATAAGTGGCAAAAAATAAATCACGTCTTAAAACAAGAAGGAAAACTAAAGTGCAAAACTAGAAATAAAATGGACAATAAAAATAATAATAAGTCAAAAAAAAGAGAATGAAAGTGGCCAGAAACTGACTTGAACCAACACTTTTTACACACTGTGAGGGATCACTGCCTTACTGTCATGGTTTTGCTTGCATAATGACAATAAAACGTCTTGAATGTTTAAGCTTTCAGGTGCTTGTCCAGGCATTTTCACTTCAGCCTGAACTTTCAATGTATGCAAATGTTCTACTGCACTTTACAACCTCGTCCACCTTTCAGGGATTTTGGACTTTGAGCGGATTAATAGGCAGAAGCTCGCGCTGCTGCTGCGCCGGCCTCAGCCAGGCCGAGTCCTCTTCATCGTTATTCTGACAGTGCAGCGAGGAACAAATGGGAACTGCTGTTATTGTTTTGGCTGAGGTCCCAGCTGGACAGTAGCTGAGCGTGAGTGCATGTGTCCATATGGACACCAGAGAGCGCAGACAGCTGGACTAGAGTATTTGGACGACCCCCGCTAACCCCAGAGCTCGTTCTCTCGCTTTTCAGCTCCTCTTCTTTACTCTGTTCTGCTCTCGCTCTCACTTTATCTCCCCTCTCCTTTCTTACTAAACCCAAAAGGTAATCGGTGGACCCTGGCAGAAATGGGGGGCAACCAAAGGCACGGAGTAAACAGCGTGCTAAAATCCAATCAAGCACGTGTGCGTGAGCGCACACCTAGGCGCGCTGGCTGGCTGGCAACACACAGACGAGTGTAATCTGCCAGGATACACACAAAGCTCACAGAGATCCCAGTAACACTGGGAGACACGTACTGTATCTTTTCTGCCAGGATGTAAGCACGCTTAACATGCGCACACACACTGAGTCGCTGTGTTGTAGCTTCACTGCTCCTACTCAATTACAGTTTGCTGTAAGGCAGGACTCCCAGGGCTGGAGCAAGAAACGTCAACACATTTTACACTTGACTTTTCTATTGCTCACTTCGCCACTGAGACTGCTGGCCTTTATCCTCGACTGGGAGTTCAGAACTCGCCAAAGTTACTCGACAATCTTTCAGCAGCAACGCAACAACAACACAGCCGGTCTTCTACCGGTAAAGCAAAGTGGAGCAGTATGGATTTTATTTCTCCTCCCCACTTGTAAGTGCTTAAATGTTGCAGGAGATTTGCAGTAGAGTTTTTCCAGAGACAGGACTGCAGCTACGCTCGTCATGGAGGTGGTTTTTGTGAGGCTATTATTCTTTATTTCCATATAGACAGGCTGGATTATAGGATGGGTTTAAAGAGCTTCAAGCACAGACTTATAACAAGCACTCCGACTCCAGCAATAAAAAGCAACATCCACACCTGATTTACGTTTGCATCACTCCCGACTTCTGTGTCTAAATGACCCGATTTTAATGTCGAGGACCATCACTGGCAACGACAGTGGAGGAGCGTGTGGTGTCTGAGCCCAAGGGTCAGGAATGCTGCCGGAAGCACGCCTGTCCATTTATGAGATTCACTGGGTTTTACACTTGGATTTTGTCCCACTGTATCGAACTTTCAACACAAAGTTCTTGTCTAATGTCCAGAAGCATCCAAGAAAAACATTCAGCGACTTCATGTGGCCTGTGCCATCTTTTTCTGTGACTTCTTCCTTCTCTTCAAAGTGAACATCAGGTTCAGGGTGGCTTATTGCACAAGTTTAACATAGTCATGACTTTCAAGGGGGGAGGAGCTAAAATCAGGTATGGTTTTTTTGAGCATGTGTAGATGTAATAGGTTTCACGCTCTGTGTCACACAGCTCGTCTGCTCTTGGCCTGCATGAGGTCAAAGAGAAAGGATGAGCTCCAACCATCTGCTGTTCAATGACAACAGAACAACCAAAGTTTCATCAAAACTCAGAGTGAGAACGATGAGCATCATTTTAAACTGTGGGAATCATGCAAAGCTGCTCTAATACAGTTCAATACAAATGAGCATTCAACACTGAACACTACGACATTATCTGCGCTATATATCTCTATCTCTCTATATCTATATATATCTCTATATCTCTCTCCATCTATATCTATATAGATATATAGATATATAGATAAATATATAAATAAATAAAAATAAAAGCCCGCACTGATTTCATTCATCGAAGGCTGCTGAACGACTGAAGCATTGCTGAATATGTGGGAAGAAATGGCTGTGTCTGGCGGGAGCTGCACGAAATCGAATAAATTGAATCAAGTGATGCCACTTGAAGAGTCTCTTGAAAGGGGAGACGGCAGTAACTACTTGACCTGCTGCTGCTGGCCTCTCTGCTGCTGCAGCTCTGACTCTGCCCTGCTTTGATCCAGAAACAATTTGGCCAAAAAGAATAAAATTTGTTACCTTGAGCGCCTGCAATCTGGCCTGTTCCTCCTCCAAAGCCTGCTGCTTCTCCTTCTCATCCATGCGGCTGAAGGACATGCCGGTGGAGGAGAGAGACGAGACGGCGTTCGACAGGGTGGATGCTCTGCAAACATAAAAGAAAGGGGAGAAAACAGAGGTGGTGTTCAATTTTTCTTTTTGAGGGAGTACTCTCGAGGAGGAACGGTGAAGTTTCATATGATGGAAATGGAAATGACGCAAACTAGAGAAAGGCTGATGCCGCTGACCAATTATAACGTGTCTACCTGGTGTCTGCATTCAGCTCCTTGGTCTTCTTGCCCTCCAGAGAGGCAAGGTGCTGCTCCAAAGCCTCCAGCAGGCTGCTGGGAGCCTGAGAGTCGAGTATGAGGGGAGAAACGGAGGAAATTCAGTCATCCGCTCAACTTGTTTCTCTCACATGCAAAAAAACAAAACCCCCCACCTACACATACAGTAACAGACACAAACAGCACCCAGAGTTAGTTGGTCTCACAGGAAGGTAACAGAGTACATCAGGCTCCAGGAATAGCCAAGGCAACATGCAGAAAACACTCACACTGTTAGCAGGAGACTCAAAGGAGAGACACGACAAAGGAGGAGGTTGAAAAAGAGTGAGTAAGAAGTTGAAGAGGAGAGGCTGCGCCTTATTCTCTTGACTTCCTGAGCACAGAGCGATCATTTCAATGCCGGGCCTTCCCTTTGCTACGTTTGCCTCTTTGTCTTATTCATCTTGCAGTGCCCTCACACCGCGACGTCCTGTCAAACAATGCCAGGCTGTACTCTTTACCTCCGACTTGTCAGTGTGCCTCTGCTGTAGCTTTACTAATTCTCTCTGCATTTATTGCACTTGCAGACTGAGATCATGGCCTCGCTTGTTTTTCCTAAAAACAAGCGAGGCTAGGAGTGTTTAAAGAGCCTTTTGTTGTACAACGACACCAGGCAGCAGCGCTAAATTTGAGCTGTTGTGTACCAGTTAGCGAGTGGGTTACTTGGGGACTGTTGCTATGCTACTACAGATAAAACAGTTCGGCTGCAGCTTCGAGTTCAACTCCAATTGTTTGACACTGCACAACAGGATGTCTTCTGCACTTGTTAGGTGCCTCATTAATGCCAAAAAAGACCACAGCAAAACAGCAAGGCGACAGTGAGCCAGGCAGCCGCACTATCGCTGCATAATCAATGGTTTTTAAGAGCTACGGAGGACCACGAGTGCCAAAATTAGAAATAATTACGTTATATTAAACGGGACATAAAAATTAAACAAAATCAATTAAATGACATCAACTGATTCAACATAGCTTTGCATTATTTAGCTTTACTTCATTTCCTATTTTAAAGTATTTCCCTTAATAAATGATGTATTTGTTATTGCTCTGATGCTTCTTTAGGTATTTCTGATTTACACAAATAAGTAGACTGTAATTCAAAGTGTGTTTCTTTGTCTGCTAAAAAAAAATTGAGACCAACAGCTAAACAAGATAAAGACGATAGATTTCTGGAAAAAGCAAGTATCTCTATTGAAATAAATGAATATATATCACATCAAAGTAAACTGGGATGGAAAATACAACCAGAACTTTTTCAAATATAAAAATAAAATTGGCAAATAAATCAATCTGTCACATTTTATTAATGAAATTAATGCCTACAGTATTTTCTTGATGCAATTAATGGCTCATTTACAGTGATGCCCATAACTTGTTGGGAAAAGGCAACATTTTCAGAGTTTTGCGTCTGTACAACACCACGTGGGAGACTTTCAGCTTTAATTCAACGAACAGTTTTGCATAAACTGTTTAGGAAATAGAGGTCAAACTCATGGACATCAACAGATGTTGTGTTTCCTTCACTGAGATGCTCCAACAGGCCCTTACTACAGCTCTCTTTAGCTGCTGCTTGTCTGTAGATCTCCATCTTCAGTTCTGTATCTTGTAACTAAAAAGCCTCTGTGTTGGTTTGACATCAGGTGACTGACTTTTTTTTTTTTGTCCAATTTTTTCTTGGGTTGCTTTGGCAGATTTGGCTTTTGCCCTTTTTGCAGAACTGTGCAGGCCAAGTCTAATTTGGTCTTCTTGTACTTCAGTGTAACCAGTGGATTGCACTTTGTTGTAAACAGTCTGTATTTCATGAAGGTGTCTCTTGATTTTACACTCTGACAATAATACTCATACCTCCTTGAGATTGCTCCCGAGTTGGTTAGATGTTGTGAATTTATTTTTCTTAACCATGGAAATAATTCTGACATCTTTAGTCACATCCTGTGGGGTTTTGGTGGGACTTTTTGGTGTTCCTGAGCTGGCTGGTGCCGTCCCCTTTTTTTAAAAAATGAACCAAATTGTTGATTTTGCCACACTGAAAATTCTCGCCGTTCCTCTCTGGTAGGTTTATTTTAGTATTAGAGCCTAATGACAGCCTCCCTCACTCACACTGTCATCTCTTTGGGCCTTACATTTAAAATTAGTTAAAAGCCTAAAAAATAAAAATTCAACACTTTGAATCAACTTTGGATATTAAGTCTGCTTTATTTTTAGAGAATAACAAGGAACTGTAACTGAAAGTGCCTGTCAGTCAGTTTTAAACCTCTAAAATACGGTAATATGTATAAAAATGGCTGCAATTTTTAAACAGTTAATGCAAAATGTTTGTTAGACCTCTGAAAACCTTCACAGTCAATCACAGACTCAGTGATTTAAAATCTACTGTGGTGGTGTACAGAAGCAAGACTGCAAACAAAATGTGTCACTAGGCCAATAAATTAGAGACCCAAACTCATCATTTCTATAAGTGGGAGTTTCAGTCGTCCATACTTAGCATGCAGCAATTAAAAGAATAGTTCATCTCTCTTTTGGCTTTGGAGAGAGGAGGGGAAATTCTTTCACTGTGAAAATATCACAACGTCATGTCTGCCTCTCCGTCCGCAAGAATGCAAAGTTTGCTGTCAGTACACACACACACACACACACACACACACACACACACACACACACACACACGAGAGGCATTTGGAGGCTGGGCCAGACAGTGGGTTCTTGCCAAACTGTTGCCTGGTTGTTAAAGAAACAGCGACTTGCACAAAGAAAGATCTTTAACTGCCGCAGAGTCTGAATAGGTGAAAAGAAGACTGTGTGTGTGCTTAGTCAATATTAGCTCTGACACACACACTCTCAGAGGGGGGGAAATATCACGAGCATGCCTTGCTCTTAACATAAGATGCTTAGCAGTAATACCTCTGACTTTAGAAAGCACTGAGAAAAAAGCGCTAGTATTAAAAAAAAAAAAAAGAATCCCTGCTTTCTTCTCTCTGACGTTTCCTTTATTTTTTGACAGTGATTACGCAGTAATGCTCGGGTCATTCACTATTAAAGCACCTGCACCATGCGTGTTGAAGAAATGATGTCGTGCATGACAAGTATGAAATAAACAACATCTAAAAAGGAGGAGGACGGAATTTAAATGAGCCGAGCCGAAAGCCGTTGCAGAGATTCTTTTCATGCAGATGAAGACGGAGGGGTGAAGCTTCATTTTCTATTCATGAGGTTTCATGGCCTTTTGCTTGTCGTGCCAAGGCTGTGTGTGTGTGTGCGCGTTTGATAGCGACTGCCACCTGAGGCCGACACACACATATTGCACTGAGTTGACACCAGATCATTCTGCGCTCGAAAAACAGGGGAAGAGCATGCCTTTGAGGGCTTGAGGTGCAAGTGTGTATGGTTGCACACACACATGCTATGAAGACGTTCATGCAGGAGGAGGAGGTTAAGCAGGATTGGGGGGGCGTAGAGTATGCAACCCACCACCTACAATGTATGATCCTTTTGTTTTCTGCGAGAGGAGGGGGAAGAAGAAAAACGTCTGTTTAATGACTACAGTAAACTGTGCAGTTTTACTATGAGTTCAACACCCACACTGTCAGCTCGCATGCTGTTGACTTCCAGCTTCACACTAATGATTTTTTAGTAATGCATAACCAAGGTCGCGATCCAGCAAGCTGTAAAGTTTTACTGTTGTGTGTCAGTGTGTGGGAGACTCCCCCTCCCTTTAGGCAAAAATAGGAAAAAAAATTCGCCCAAGTTTATTTCAACTATGAGCCAAAGTATGCTCAATTTAATAAACTGTCAATCCAATCAGGGCTGCAGCTTATGATTATTTTGTTATGGATGAATCTGTCAGCCAAGGACACACCAATTGATAACTCGCCTCTGAGATATGGTGCTGATATTTGAACAGCACCAAACTGAGCTGGCTGAGGCATAGCAGAGACTGTGACAGTGACAAAGGAACTAGATGACTCTGGGATCAGTCACATATTGTGGCTGTGTGCTATGAAAGAAGTCGCGGGTGGGTGAAATAGATCTGTCAGAAGCAACTGCTCTATGCCAAGTTAATTTTGACTCATTGTTATATAAAATACCAAAAAGAAATCCCACAACCCAACACTAAGACAGCATCTCTGATTACATGCATCCACATTTAGCCTACACTTGCTACTTTAAAGATACAGTCAGCAGAAAAGAGGATACTGTAATCATAAATATGCATAGAACAGTATGTAATTACTTTTCCAGCAAACTGATGCCTTCTAATAAACGTATAATTCATCTATTAAAAAGCTGGTTTGCAGAAGCCAGCTTGTTCACCAACCATATTTGAATACAGTGGCCGGGAAAGACAAGTCACTGCACATTATTGGCATTTTACGTAAGCAGCTTGAGATCAGCCATGGGACCCTCCTGTCTCCACATCGCTGACAACAAGTTGGCTAAACAACAATAGTTGGTTTTAAACTAACTTTATGCTAGCTAATGTTAGGGTTAAGTGTCAAAAAACACAAAACAAACAAACAAAAACATTCCCTTTGATAAACAGTTTGATTACATTCTCACATCAAATGAGAGTTTATTCACTAAGTGTCTGAGTCCAACAATGTTACATCCACTTCAAAAAAAACCTTCACTAACCCTGGCTAACAGCAGCTAACAGAGGCAAGCAGATGCGCTTGTTGATGGTTCAACATATCCTCAACAACACCATCATTTATATTCTCTACAGTCACAGCAGATGGCTGCCCCTGCTGGAGGTGTCTTCCTGTTCAAAGTAAGTTCTTCTTCGCCACTGTTGCCAACAGAGAAATGTCTGATTGTTGAGGTTTTTTCCCCCTTTACAGCAGATCTCATCCAACTAGTAACTAAAATTAACTGACTGACTGTTGTTGCTCATTAAGAATAATATGATACTGTACAGCAGGTCTGCTAGTTTCGCTGTAAATGCCTTCTGTAGAAAAAACATACACTTTAATAATGCTCTATCACACAGACCAGCAGCGAATCATCACCATTTAGAATCTGAAACAACCAGATAATCATACGTTTGCTATCATTTTGAAAAACAATTAATAGCTTCATTATTTCTCAAAAACAATGTTCTATAGTACACAGCCTGACAGTTTCCGCTTCTCTAATGTGGGGATTTGGGCCTTTTTCCTGTTAAATATTATTGCAACAAACCCAATATTCTCGATTTTTTTGTTTAGTTTTTGCTGTTTGACCAACTAAATGAAGCAATTAACGATGCCACTTACTGCAGTATTTTACACAGATTAATTAAGACAACCAACAGATGGATTGGTAAAGCAATCATTAGCTGCAGCCCTCTTGGTGATCAATTTCACTCCACTGAATCCAAGGACGGGCCTTCTATTTTTAACACATTTAGAACAACAAAGAAGGCAAACAAACACAAACAAACAAACAGAAACAGGTCATTAACGGTATTGAAGTGAATTATAATGTGTGTTTATGGGTAGCAGTGTAACAAAGAAAACAATGTCCTTGATGTTCGATCATAAACCACGGGGAGGATAAAAACAACGCTTCAAGCGATTCCACTGAACTCACAAACAAAAAGGAAAATTTATTCTTGACAATTAGAAAGTGCTGTTGCTGTCCTGTTTTTTTTAAGCCCTTCATTTTTGCAATTAACTTTAATTTAATTGATTCAAGGTCCAAAGCTCATTGTTTGGGGGTTTTAAATCTGCGTCAGGCATGCCGATGGCCCGGAGCGCTTAAGCAGGCCAACTTTAACACAGCTCAGTCTGGTTTTTTTTGGGGGTTTTTTTAAAAATTTTTTTATCTGTAACGAGTATTTAGAAGTGAAAGGGAAAGCAGGAAAGCAAAATCAATTATACCAGAAGGGAGTTGCCTGGATTCAAACAGTAAATTCAGGTTAGCTTTCTTTTAAAGAAACAAAAAAGGAGTAGGGTGGAGAGTGAAAAGGAAGTAAACAACTGGTCAGGAGGGAGAAACAGGCATAGGCAGGGGTGAAATAAAGTGTGAGTCAGTGGATGAAAGCACAGAGAGAGCAGCGAGATAAGAAGTAGTGCTGCAGGAGAGACTCTTTGGGGGGGAAAAAGGTGAGAAGGTTGGAATTAGAGAGGTGGACGGTGAGATGTACACTGACCTGTGAGAGATCTGGGATGTCACCCTGATCTATTCCAACTTGCTGTCGTCAAAAACAAAATTTACAAAAGGAAAAAAAAGAAAAAAGGAAGGGGTCGGGGGTGGGATAAAATGGAGAAGGAAGCATAAAGAGGAGGGCGGGGTCCATTTGGTGAAAATAAAAGGATGAGAAAAGAAAAACAAAACAAAACAGGGGAATCATTACTTCATGCAGCGGCAGTGTCAACAAAAACAGAAATAAACATGAAAAAGTTTGACATCTCAACAGTGAATGACAACAATGACTGCACAGTGATAAACATGTCTGACCGATGAGGGAGAGCAGGCATGAAGGATGGCGTGATAACTCTGAAAACACTCATAAAGGACGCCATAACCTGCACCAAAACCATCTCCAAAACACTAGGACACGACATAAACAAGCTTATTTTCCCCTCTTTCAAACCTGTTGTCAAACTCACCTTCAGGCTTTACCAACAGGAAATATGAGTAACATTTAATCCTGTTACTTGAAGATCGTTTGAGTCAATGAAGAAAAATGTACAGCCTCTTTAAATTATTAGACCAGGATAGCATTTAAATAAATGATCTGGTCTGAAGCAAGGTTTAAAAGATTAAAATACACCCTCAGATGAACAGCAACAATATTGTGTAGTTAATTTAAAAACAAAAAAACCTACTTATGCTGCTTCTGCATTGTAAGTAAGTGGACTGAGGACAAAAGACATCAGGAATGATCTTAGAGAAACAACTGCTGACAATGATTAAAAGTCAAATCCTGAGCAAAGTCCATCATTCTACACTGAGAATGATAATTAACAACTTTCCCAGCAAACCCACCCCTAGGTGAAAGAAACGGCAAAAACCCAAGAGTTACATCTCAGATCTACAGGCTCAGTTAGCATGTTAAATGTTAAAGTTCATGACAGCACAGTTAGAAAAAGACTGGATAAGTATGGCTTGTTTGGAAGGACTCTCAGGAGAACGTGTCTTCCTTCTAAAAAGAACACGGCAGCATGATTTAGGTTTCCATAACTGCATCTAAACAGACCACAAGATTTGCTGAAGAATGTCCTTTAGACAGACAAGATAAAACTCAGATGTGTGGTTGTAATTCACAGCTCGACATTTGGAGACAGCCAAACTCAGCATATCAGCACAAACACCTCACACCAACCGTCAGGCACGGCGGAGGAGGGGTGATGAATCTGGGCTTGTTTTGCAGCCACAGGATCTGGGCACGTTGTCATTGGGCTGATCATGAACTCCTCTGAATACCAAAGTATTCCAGAGACAAGCATCTGTCTGACAGATAAGGACGAGGAGTTTGACTCTTTTTCAGCCATTCTGTTTTAGATTTGCTCGTGTGTTTGGGGTCCTGAATGAAATGCTGCGGTGGTACCTTAAGCAAACTGTGCATGAACAAATACCTACAAGCCTCAATGAACTGACTACACATGGTAAATAACAGCGGGACAAAATTTCTCCAAGATGATGTGAAAAACTAATGAAGTCCCACAGAAAACAGTTCCTTCAAGGTGCTTCTACAAGCTGCTCAGTCCTGGGGTGCACTAATTTTCTATAAACTGTTTGTGTGTTTTAGCTTCATTTTCTTAATTAAATAAGGACATTGTGCAATTTGTCATATGTTGCTGTTCATCTGAGGTTGTGTTTACCTGCTGAGGATTTTTTAAATTATGTCCTGATACGTAAAACATTAGAACTGAAAGACAGCACATTTTCTTTCCCCCCCTTTTTTCAACTTTAACCAGTGGGCTTGCATGAGAGAACACAGATATCCTAAAGTAAAAATAGTCAGATTGGATGTTAAACAGTCTTTACCCTGCTAGCTGCACAGTCCAAAGTCAGTAAAATGTCTGCTTCAGCCACTGTAAGAATTAAACATGTGCCTTCCAAAGACGATATTTTAATTAGTTAGCCTCCAACTTATACTTTTGATTATTTATCCTGTTGTCATTTATCACAAAACAACCAAACATGAATATCAAGGGCACATTTCAAGTCAATCCAGGTGCTTTCAGTTATTAAACGAAAGCTTAAGAGTTTAGAAAAATGGGACGGTCCCATTTTAACAGGAGGCCTTTTACACTGCAGACATTTTTCACCAATCACACGACAACAGGGGTAAATCTCAGAATTAATGAAGACTAATGTCCAGTCACCCGAGTCCTCTCACTGTTCATGTTGCTCCCTTTGATTAGGACAGTTCTGAGCCACTGGTAATCTTTCTAACTGCAGGGCCTGAGCAAAAATGTCTGCTGTGGAAAGCTGCTTTCTTAAAATGATGCCCAACCCTCATGTGCAAATCTGCTTCAACAATCCATTGAACTAAAAAGGTAACACCTCAAGATCTCAGTTGTTTTTAGTACATTTACTACACTGACTACTCATCGTTTAGATGTAGCGTTAATGGCCACATGGAGCAGACTCATCTGCACCAGCTCGCTACTGAGAAACATGTCATTTAATTTATGGATATGTCATAAACTGCATAGATGGCTTGGAAATCCCTGAAATCTACATGTTTGAATCATGTCATGTACAACATGGAAGCGAAAAAAATATATGAATAGCTCAGAGCGCTACTCAAAAGCCAATTATAAAAGACAAAAGGAAAGTGACTGGGAACATTTATTTTTTATGTACATTAATGGAGAGAAGATAAAACCCACTAATGTGGAAGTTACAGCAGCTGATCTCACTGTTTCAAGTCTGCTGAAACACCGGGAGGGATGGAAGAGAGGGGGCACCAGAGGGAAGACAGAAAGAGGGATGATCTGTAGGCGCTGGGCGAAGGAGAGCCACACGAGTATCCATCTCTGTCAGGGGCGGAGGGAAGAGCGAGGGAGGAGAAAGGATGAGATGGAGGAGTGTGGGGAGCAGAGGGAGAGCGAGCTAACGGAGCGCCTAACCACATGCTCCATCTTCGGGGTTATTTTGGGTGCATATATATGTAAGTGTGTGCAGCAAATGTGGGGCTGGGAGGGCAAGTTAGGAATTCTGGTTTGAAGAGCGTACAGTAGCTGTGTGAGCAAAAATGTGGCCCTCTTTATATGCACTTCTGGTTCACCGTATCTGTAGGTTTTATGTATATATAAAGGGTTTTTTGCCTTTTTTGTTTTAAAAACCTTTAAGGAAAAGGGTCAAAATTGCCTTCAAAATAAGGTGTCTGCGTGGAAAAATATACCTCTGCCACTTTGAGGAACTCTGAGAGCTTCGTCATCCTGTAAAGGAACTTCTTGTAGATGTCCAGGGCATCTTTACACTGGTTCTTCTTCATGTCAAAGTATTTCTCTACAGAGAGGGAAAGACATACAAATTTAAAAGGAAAAAGGAAGACAGAAGTGTGAAGTACAGTACGAAAGTCAGAAGTCTTGAGCCACCCCTCATTTCTACTCGTTTGTCTACCAAGCAGCCAGACTTTGGAAAGTTTTCTTGAGTAATAGTTCTCCAGGTTTTCTACAAGTATTTCACAGTTCTTTCTTTGGACATTGGCTGCTTTTTCACTCACTTCCAGTCCAGTCCTTATACCTGACCATTTTCAGAGCCATTCTTTTTCCTTGACTTAACAAATGCACCTAACTCAAGGCATGGACTAGTTTTGTGTCTTTACAAAAGAGACCGTTAGAGAGAACCAATTTTAAATTGTATCTTTAGGCACTTTATTACTTGCCTGTCACCAAAACACATCATTTGTTTGCCTTTGTTTAGTTGAGTCTATGAAAAAAGGCCAGTGATAACAGAGTTTGACAGGCATGAAATAACATTTTTGCACCAACGAGGTGAAGAGCTGTTAGCCGACAACTTGTCATACGCCAGCAAATCTGAGAAAACCGGACAAATGAAGGACAAAAGAAGAAGTGACAGGCCTGAAAAACTGTTTACAGCAGTTGAAGAGTATCTGAAAGTCATGTCTTTAAGAAAAAAAATACATCCAGCAAAGACCTGACATAGTTCTACTCGAGACCTGCTGTTCACTGAAGCCCCGTCAGAAATGGTCTCAGTGGAAGGGTGGCTGTCAAGAAGCCATTCTTAAGGAAGGGAAACAGGGAGGAAAGGCTGAGGTATGTCAGATTACAAGGCTGGCACAGACTGAAAATCAGTGACAACAGGTCTGATCGAGCAGGGAATCTGAATTTGACATTTTTTGTTCAAATCAGTATATAAGGAGGAGGTCAGGAGAGAGGTGGAGGCTCTGTCATGGTTTGAAGATGCATTTCACTCAGTGATGTTGGGGATCTTTTAAAAACTGATGAAATTATGAACGCAGAAAAGTATCATCGGATTATGATGAAAAATGCAATATAATCTGGAAATGGTTTCATTCATAACAGCATCATTTTTCAGCATGACAATGATCCCCCAAACACTCCCAATGCAGTAAAAGCATACTATGATAGACAAACACACAGTGGAACTCTATCAGTCATGGATTGGCTTCACCAGAGCCTGGACCTCAACTTTATTAAACCAGTGTGGGATCATCTCGACTGACAATGGAACAAGGCAGAAACGTCCAAAGAAAAGCTTTAAATGTCCTTTAAAAGCCTGGAGAAATATTCCTGAAGACTGCTTTAAGAAATTACAAGAAACCTTGTCCAAAGCCCCTTTTCCATTAGTACCTACTTGGATCGATTCGGCACAGTTTCACCACGGTTTGCAGGGTTTTCCATCAGGTCATAGTACCTGGTATCAGGTACTTTTTCAGCACCTGCTTGGCCGCAGTTCCAAACGATCCAACCAGGTACTAAAATGTAATGTCGTCACACTGCATGCCACCGATTAGCTGGTCAGTATTGTCACTCGAGAAGTCATGAGAGCGTCTCGTTCACAAAAATTTGAACCTCGGCAATGAGGGAAATGGCTACAACATGGTGTTTCAAGAAATCAATTATTGAAACATTATTTTCCCAACAAAATATAGAAAATGAGGGGTAGCTCAAGACTTTTACAGAGTACTGTAAGGAAAGGAGGAAGTAAAGAAGACAGGAACATTCATCGGCTGTAGAAAAAGAAGCTTTTGGCAGCTACATGACAGCTTGTCAAAACCTACTGCGCGCACACGTGTGTGTATGTGCTGGCGAGAGGGTTTTTATACATCTGCTTGACAAGAGCGTGAGTGTGAGGACACGCATAACACACACAAAAGACAAACTGCAGATATACCTCATCATTCCTGACACATGTAGGAGAGAAAGCTCGCTGTTTATCCTGCGTGTGTGTTCGTGTGTGTGTGTGTACCCAATAGGTTGATGACCCCTTCATTGTAAGCAGCAAACAGCCTTATGGAGTCCTTGAAGAGCAGCATGAAGGCTGAGTTGATCACACCGTTGGTCAGCTCATTAGGGTTGGCCTACAGAGAAGAGAGGTAGAGAGTGAGAGGGTGAAGGAGGCATCGCTCTCACATCTTTCCAAAGCTTTTCAGAAAAATAAAGCATCTCTTTCAAATACCGACACCTCTCCCCCTTCGGCGTGAAGCGAGCACATCACCACACACCGAGCAAAATGTCAATTTAGTTTAGGTGGAGGGGATAAAAATAAAAAACCCCATCACTTCCATACACACACACACTCCCTCAATACACATTCAGTATGCATTTCAATGAGAAACCATCCATTTTATCACTCTTTGAAGCTCGCTGGCACAAACCACAGCACCCTCACCAATGAGTCCCCACCCAGTCCTCCCGTGCCCTTCCTAGACGCTCGCACTTAGATGTGCAATCTGTCCCCATAGTGTGATTTTTTTATTTAATACTCCTATCAATGCATTTCAAAACTTTACAAACGGTTTCAATTTACATTTTGATGAGAAAGTGAACGAAGCATGGCTGACACAGGACGCGCACATATGTAGCACACAAAGACACTCGGTACCTGGAAATCCAGCAGAGCGTCCAGCTGGTTCTGGATGATGGGCAGCGTCTTGATCAGCTTCTCTGTGTTCATGGTGCGCATCACGCCGTCAATACTGACAAAACAGGAAGCAAAAACGCACACAAACACACAATTACAGCGGGCACCTTGTGGACAAAATTTAAATTCTGATGCAAATTAAGAGGATTCACAAAAAAGGAATGAAGTGATGATCCAAAACTATGTGACGCATGTAGTAAGTGAACCGATATTTTGCATACTGAAGCATCCTCAGTAGTGCAAAGTGCTTTTTTGAGGTGCAACAAATGGGAGACTGAAAACACTCTCTGATAAATAATGAGACTCTGCTCAGCTGGATCAGCGTGACACAGATTCAGTGTCATTCCACCGCGGCTGGACTTTCTGAAATTGAAATGATTGTGTGCGCACACAAAACCTTCAGAAAGGATGCACCTACTTTCACTTGAAAACACAGGGCTCCAGGGAGGCTGTAAAGCTTTAGCTGAGGGATTAAAATACCACAAATGAAGTGTCATAATCTGCATACGACGGCTGCAATTAAAGGTTTAGTTGAGAGAGAGGAAAAAAAGAACAACCCCCCCCCCAAAACCCCTGAATACCCCATAAATCTCCAGTTCCTCTAGTGGCCATTTGAGTGGGCCCAAAAAATGAGACTTTCACGTTAAAATATTCAACTTTAAAGCAGACGTAAACATGTTTACAGCCAGATACAGAAACATTTTTGGGCCCATTGTTATTCTCCTTTTATATGCTTCCTACATAGTTTCATTCTCTTGGTGAAATACTGCGATTCCAATTCATTCAGTATTTTTCTAGAATTTATTATTATCAATCACTCAGCTCCAGCTTTCAGGAGCGGAAGTCCATTTTCTTTCCCCAATGTGCAGTCTATGAAAACCACAAATCTACTCAAGTTGACTGAAAACTATCTGCAACTTGTGTTTCATGTGCTTGTTTTTTCCCGTCCTAATTCTAATTGCTTATTTCTTTATTTCAGCAAGCTGGATGCAACATTTTCGCGTTTCCCTTTCTGCAATATTTCACATGCATCCAACAGAAAAATGTTCAGTTTTGTCTGAAATGTCTTGCAGGATAAACTCTAAAGAAAACAACAACAACAAAAAAAAAAACCCCGAAAAAACTTTGTTTGCTGTCCAAGTTTGAGGTTTTGCAGAGAAACTGCTAGTTCTGTCTTTGTCTACTGCTTCTCTCTAAGTGCATTGCCAAAAGATAAACACAGTCTCCGGCTGTGTGACAAGATAAGTGTGAAATGAAGAGTAAAGATGACAGTGTGTGTGTGTGTGTGTGTGTGTGTGTGTGTGTGTGTGTGTGTGTGTGTGT